TCCCCTCCCCCTCTCACTGCAACTTTCCTTGCCACATCACCACTTCTTTCCCCGGGAGCTTCCTCGTCTCTCTTTCCGGGTCCGCTTCCCCCTCCTTCTTCCCCTGTAAGCGTCAGCTTTGTTTTCCCTTCTCTACTTATTTTTCTGTCAGCTGTCACCACTTCCTTTCTTTTCCTGTCATCTGTTCCCTCTTCTTTCTTTCCGCGTCAGCTTCCTCCTCCTCCACTTCTTTTCCTGTTAGCTTCCTCCTCCACTTCTTTCCCTGTCTCCTCCCCTCCTCTTCTTTCGCAGTCAGCCCCCCCCCTTCCTTTCTCTGGCATCAGCTCCCCCTCCTCTGATTTTTCTTTGCAAGCGTCGGCTACCCCTTCCACTTCCATTCCTGTCAGCTCCTCCCCCCTCCTTTCCCTGGCTTCAGCTTCCCCCTCCATTTTTCTTTGCAAGCGTCGGCTTGCCCCCTCTTCTTCCATCCCTGTCAGCTCCCCCTCTTCCCCTGGCTTCGGCGCGCTGAACCTGGCCTCATGACTTGTGCACTAAATGCCCTTGCAGTGGCCAGGCTGCCCGGCTGTTGTGTGACTTTGGCACGTCAACTTGGTTAAGGCCCTGTGCCGTGCCGTGCATGGCCAAGGAGTTTACGTTGCGGCCTGGCTAGGGTCGTCCCAACTGCAGCGCCATTTCCATTAGGGCGTTCCCTGAGAAGACTGTGAGAAAAGGCGCTTGCCAAGCGTCCTCAACTCTTGTTCTTAATTAGTAAGGTTCAAGAAAATTAATTTCGCTTTAGAAACTGCTGTGGGCCTTCGGTGGTATTGAATCGAGCCGCGATGAAATTAGCTGCAGGCAACAACACGACCTTCCTGCCGCGGTTCCCACGCTGCATTCTTTCTGCTTGGAGGCGCCGCGCGAAGCACAAGTCACGCCTCGGAAAAAGGAAAAATTAAGACTGTTTGGGGTCGCCGCGAAATCCACAATGTGAGGGTGCTCTGGGCGATAAGGCAGAGAGTGTGTGTGCACGCCGTGGCGTGCCGTGGCGTGCCGTGCCACGCCGGCCGTGCGGACGGGGCGCTGGAACGTGTTTAGGGCTCGTTCCCCTGTCCTCCGCGTCCCGGCCTTAAACGAGCCTCAAAAAGGTCTGGGTCCGGGGCGCAGCGACGCTGGTCCACGGGGCGGGTTGCGCGGGGGGGGGGGGGGCTGCTTTGAGGAGGGGGGCTCTAGACTGTCGGGGCACGCGGTCCGTCCGAGACACCCCCTTCCCCTTTTCCTCGGCCCGCCCCTCAATCGTTAATGAGGTGTGAAAACACTCGGCCGGATGGCCTTGTTGGGGGCGATCCTCTCGGCGCGCGAGGCGTGACGAGATGGCTCCATCGGATGCAAGGTTGCGTTTCGCGCCACGCTGCTTGGGTTCGAATCCCAACTGTTTCTGTGTTTTCTCCCATCGACCTGTCAATAATACAGCACGACCACCTCAGTTGTTGCTGCCAAGAGTTTCGTTTTGTAACGGCTCGCTGTTGCAGTTCCTCCTGTCACTCAAGCACAATGGCTTCGGGAAGTCGAGCCGGCCTTGTAAAGCGATCTGGCTGAGTGTTGTTGTTTGGTCGAGGCTGTTCTTCTGCTAATTATTTAATGGACCACACCCTTGGGAAGTTTCCGATGAGAAGGGGTTCCCAGCCATCGCTCACGCGCCCAGACAAGCGAGGCGAGTAAGGAACCTCGGCCTCGACGGCCGCGCGCGAGAGTTGTTTGTTTCAGCGGGAAACAAAAATTCGGAGCTTCCCTGTTTATTTATTTTTTTGAGTGGGCTCGTCATTCCTGCAGTGCGGTGCGTTCATTCCGTCGAACCAGTTTTCCATTTTCCACTTTTTACTTTCTATTTTCCCGCTTTCTCTCTGCTTTTGTCTTTTGCTGAACACGGCTCCGCCCTACCGCTGAAGTACATACAGAAAAACACGCCAAACTTGGTTCGTCGAAAAGCAAAAGAGTCTGTCTCTCTCTCTTCTTTTTCATCATTGGTTGTTTTTTAGTGGTATTGACGTGGCGCGCGCAGCGTCGGGAGTGGCATCAAAATGCATCCATACCGTGCGACGTTACAACTTCTGCGGCGCGCGGCGCTCTCATGTAAATAACGCAAGTGACACATGCCAGTCTGCCAGTGGCGGGCCGGCGGGGGCGTAGCCATGATTTCCGCGCCGCTACCCTCGCCCAAAAATAAATAAATGAAGGAAACAGCGCGCGCGGCCAGACACCATTTTTTCCGCTGCACGGCCCTCGCGCCACATTGCCTGGCCGTCCTGCTCAACCCTCACGCCCTTCCCCCTCCCCTCCCCATCGCCGCCACGTCAAATCAAGCGGCCGCCTGTCAACGGGTGTGGAAATATTTTCTTGCCTTGTGCGGTCGTGCACCCGCCCGCCCCGCCCCGCCCGCGGCAGCTGGAAGGGGGTTGGAAAGGGGGGGATGGAGGGGCGTCGGCAGCGCTGGCTGGTAAGGGCGGGGCACGGCTCCACATGAATTCTGATGATGAAAACTGGCGGCGTCTTGAGGTAAGGCCAGCGGGGCGGCCTAGGCGGGGGGAGGGGCAGGGCCAGGGCAGGGCCCACGTGATGCCAGCGCGCGGTGCGCGCCGCGTTTGAACCGACCTGTCAAGGGTACTGAAGAGGGATGGTGTGGCACACAGAACGGAAAGGGGGGTGGGGACTCCGCAATACGGTGTAGTCCTGCCACACACACAGACACACACACACAGACGGAGTCCGGCGGGGCCGTTTCCAAACTGTTCGCTCTCTGTTTCGGACACGTTCGGTCTGTTGGCATGTCGGCTAGGGAGGAGTGAGTTTGCCTGGCCGCCCCAAGCGCTCCCCAGTCGCCCCACAGCAGTGTGTGCGAACCGAGCGAACCGAGTGCGAACCCACAGCGACGCCAAAGCGATGCTCTAGGAGCCGCAGGACGCAGCCAGCCGTGCGGCAGCCTCTGTCTCTCTCGCACTCGCCGGCCGCGGTGCACGCGTGCGAGAGAGACGGCGGCCGAGCCTGCAGTGCGTGCACCGCGCACCGCGCACCGCAGTGTGCAGGGCGGCCTCAAATTAATCTCTCGGACTTGCCGTCCTTTCCCCCAAGGCTTCCCTCGCGATTAATCTTCTTCTTACCAGTCTGCCACCTTGCGGGCCGCCCGGCTCCCTCTTTCTCTCTCTCCCTCATTTTTTTTTGTCTAGTCATTTTTAGAAAATGGGAGCCTCTGCCTCAATGGGGAATGCAATGAAACAGCAGCCAAGCCCACCGCCTCCGCCTTGCAGTGCCGTAAAGCCCGATGGCGTGGCGTCGATATGCACGCAGGTGTGTGTGTGTGTGTGTGTCGCTTTTGCGCCTGCGGCGTAAATCCTGTGAGCTGTGAAGCATAAGATATACCAGAAAGAGAGGGGGGAAGGCGAAGTGTGCATAGGGGCCCGGAGCACGGCCGCCCGGCCCTAGGCCCAGCCGCCCGCCGTGCGTGCTTTGAGAGGGGGTGGGGGCGGCGGTAGGGCTGTTCCAGCGTCAATTTTTCGTCGGAAAAATTTCTGGAGAGCGGCGCGGTGGAGATGGGTCGACTGTCGCACTTATTGTTCGACACGGAAGTGCACTCGCGGCTGCGCGGCGTTACTCCTGCCTTGTGGCGGGGCGGGGCGGGCACTTTGCTTTGTGGCGTGCCTACCTCTGGCGCGCCGCGACACAGTCGCAGTCGTCGCCTTATGATGGTTCTGGCCAAGAAGGGAGTTGTTATTCAGGTCCCGCTCGGCGCGCAGCGCCCGCACTGCTTCCCGACAAATGCGACGCCATCTTTGTTAGAGTGCGAGGTGTCACGAATAAGATGTATGAATAAGATGACACATTCGCTTTGAACTGACACGATCGTCTAATTAGGAAAGTGTCTCTTTATGTGGATTGAAACGAAAGCGACTTCATGTTTAAACGAACGTGACGCAATTACACTAACGAATATGACTTCACATTCGTTGAGAAGCAGACGCGCCGTCGCAGGAGTCGGGAGAGAGCAAACTGAAATCCCCGACCACTTCAAGGAAACTTTTGCACCAGCCAACCAGACTCCTCAGTCCACAGCGTGCGTGGCTTGCGCCCCTCCAGGGCAATGTGTATACGGTCTACCTGCACGTACCACACCATACTACTGCACCTGCATGTACCACACCATACTACTGCACCTGCATGTACCACACCATACTACTCCACCTGCACGTACCACACCATACCAACCATACTACTCCACCTGCATGTGCCACACCATACTACTCCACCTGCACGTACCACACCATACTACTCCACCTGCATGTGCCACACCGTACTACTCCACCTGCATGCACCACACTACACTTCCACCTGCATGCACTACTCCACACTACTCCACCTGGCTGTGACGTGCACTCCATCCCAGCAGGCCACGAACACTCGAGCTGCCCGTCCGCCGAGTCGTTACCGCTAATGGCGCCGCCCGAAGCAACCGAAACATGACCGAAGCTTCATTATCTTGAATCCCGATCCCGCAAGTTCAGCCACGCGTCTTGTCTTCCTCGCTCCTGCTGCCCTCGCCCCATTCTGCCCCTTTCTCAAGAGTTTTCCGTGCTGTTGCTCCTGTCCTGGCCGCGGTCGCGGCGCCACGAGGAGAAGTGGCGCATCAGGCTGATTGCGAGAGTCGCTGTCGTCGCCCCGTCTCTCTCGCGCTCCAGGGACGTCCCGTAGAGGTGCGAGAAGGACATCGACGTAAACGACTCTCGGAATCAGTCTGCAGCAGCGCGCCGGCCCGTGTTGTGGTTTAATGTTGGCATGTTGACCTTTGGCTCTCCCGCCCCCCTGTTCGCGAGCGGCACGGCACGGCCGCGGGGAGGTGATACTACTTGGGAAGCGTGCCAGGGCGTCTTTTCGCTGCTCTCATCCTTGCTTTTGCCTTTTCCAGACTCGAGTGTGGGAGGCGTGGCCGTGGCCAGACTGCGGGGCTGAGGGCCCCCCGCCCCGCGCCGCCGCACGCCGCCCTGCGCCGCCCCGCCCCGCCCCGCCCCGCCCAGCACAGTGCACAGCCAAATAGTCACGGGTGAGTTTTGCTCGCAGAGCGAGGTTTGATCCCGGCGGATGAAACGAGGGGCAGAAAAACTCTCTTTATGTAGTACGGTGAAAGGCTGCGCCAGCGTAGCATGGTGATGGTTGATACGAAAGAAATGCGGGACCGTGAATTTTCAGAGGTATATTATAAAGTCAGCTGCTTCTGCACCAATATAAAATCGAGAACCTTCACTATTAGACCTTTGAAATGAAGGTGGCTCTACACCGCCTGTGCAGGCCGACCGAGGCCGACACAGGCCTACACGCGTGTTTGTGTGTCAAAGTCCTCCAATGGGACTCGGTCGGGCTGCCGGCCGTCCGTTCTGTTGCTCACCCTCCTGAAGCCCTAAAGGGCGACTTCCCCGGCCCGGCCGAGGCCCAGCGGCCCAGCCATCCCCACTCGCGCAGAGCAAACTTTGCCGCTCTTAGTTGCCACCCTTATCGCCGTGCTTTTATCGATACGCTCCACGCCTGGCCTGGCGTGGCCTGGCGTGTGGAGCCGCTCCGCGTGCACATAGTCTAAACGCGTTAATCCGGCTGGCCAGTGTAGCGGAGTGTCGTGCGGGGTGTTTCGCGAAGCCGTTCGTAAGTAGCGTGCAGCAGCGCGGGCCGGTCTCTCTCGCACTCGCATGTCGTGAGCCCCCCCCCCCTCTCCACAGGGGGGAGCGAGAGAGACAGAGCGACGACGCTCAAGGAGACTACCGTCGTCGCGCTGCAACACGGCAGCGCGCCGTACTCACCAAAGTGAAGCGGTTTCCGTCAAAGAGACGCGCTCCGTATTTACAGAGGATTCCCTCTCAAAGTGGAGAAGGACTGAAAAAACAAACGCGCGTCACTTTGTGGCCCCCGTGTCGTATTGCATCGTCCCTCTGTCTTTCTGCTTGCAGATGCTGGCGCAGCTGGCGGGCCTGGCCGCCCTGTGGTTCGTCATGTGGCAGGTGTCGGCGCTTTCGGACACGCTAGACATGTGAGTGACACCGTTTGTGTGTGTGTGTGCGTGTGTGTGTGTGTGTGTGTGTGTGAGCGAGTGTGATGTATTTGAGGCGTTAAGCATTGATTCACGCCGAAAACGCGATATACAACAACAGTTTAATCCGTCGACCGCGGTGCGCGATAAACATTCCGGGAACCGATTTGGCGCACCTCATTAACCGCGTCCCGCAAGGGGGGGGGGGGTAAAAAGGCCGATAATATGCACTTGTGCCGCAGCGGAGGTGGGCGGGAATGGATTGGCTCCAGCCGTCCGGAAGCAATTTGGCGGACGGGGCAGGCAGGCAGGCAGGCAGCTCATCGGCCGGGGGGTTAATTCACACGCCGAATAACCCCTTGAAAAGCTAACCTAATTCGCCGCCAGCCTCATTCCATTAGCGATGATTGTTTCGGCTTATCGGGCCGGGCCGGGTGCTGCAGGAGCCGCACCGCCAGTGTGGCGAGGAAGGGAAAAGAAAGGGGGAGGGGGCCTCGGTGACGACGCGCAGCACCTGGCCGTCGTCGGCAGGGGCGGACACTCCGCGCGACCGCCTCGCCGCCGTGGTGGCCGTGGTGGCCGTGATGGAGCACCTGCCACGGCGCCGCTGCAGCATGGCCAGCCGCCGCACCGCAGTTCCGCCCGAATTTTCCCGTGGCTGCTCTGCGCGCCCTGCGCCATCGCGGTCCAATTATTTGGCCCGGAGTGGCGGCGCGGGGCGTCCGTCGTCGCCAAGGCCGTCGCCGTCGCCGTCGTCATCGTCGTCGTCATGGCCGTGAGGTGGCCGGGTGCGCCTCGCCTTTTGTGCGCTGCTCACCTCTCGCCCCGGTCCGTAACGAAGGCGTGGGGGAAAGGGGGGGGCGCCGTGACTGCCGCGGCTGATCCGGCGCGAACACAGCTATCTCTCTCTCACGGATGACAGGCTGCCGTCTTGTTTATGACGCGTGGCGGCGCGTGGCCTGGGGTGGTCCGGGATGGCCCGGGATTACTGACGCGCCCCGTCTCCCCTCTCTCTCCCTCTTCCTCTGCTTCGCCGGCCAAGTTTTTTTGCGTGCTAAGTCTCGCCTTGCCTTCGATCTGTTGCAGTTTCGACGACGGCAAGTCGGACAAAGAGATTCTGGACAACCTGCTCACCAACACTCGCTACGATAAGAGACTCCTGCCACCGGTTTCGGGTAAGTCTTGCCATCCCGACCCGGTTCGTGCTCTGCACGACGTCGACGACGTCCCTGGTGCATCCGCTCAGGAGAACTTGGCCGATGTTTATAAATTCGGGGAAATGCGGACGCTTCCCTCCTCTCCTCTCTTTCTCTATCTTTCTCTCTCTTTCTTTCTTCGGTAGAAAGTAGTGCAGGGACGGTTTACGCGCGAGGATGGCTACGGCGCGGTCCAGCGGACTGATTCGCATAGCGGGAGATCGGTCTTTCTCTCTTTCTCCAGGACGCCGGGACGCCGCTCGGGTGCGAGAGAGACGGCACCCCTCGCTGGGACGCGGCCTGCTGCGGCGCTGCCGGTGCAAACACACGGCCCGCCCTGTTTGCCGTCGGCCGGTCAAAGGAGCGGCTGGAAGGCGAAAAGCGCGGCAGCACGGCAGTCAGTGGGGCGAACCGGCGAAACCGGGGAACCGGGGGCCGGCCATTTCAGCCGCTCGCCGCGGACCCGCCGCCCTAGTGCGGCACTGCCCGGAAAAGCAGGGTTTGCCTGCCGGAGGGCCCGAGGCGAGGAGCGCCGTGGCGGTAGGCAAGGTTTCCGTCCCGCCACGCACCGGTGTCGGCCGCGTTGCCTACCCCTGCTTCCACAGGCGCTCCAGCCTCGGCTCCAGCCGCCTTCAACGCTTCGCGAGGCTCGATTGTCACCCTGCCCAGCCAGAAACGTTTGCCAAACCGACGGGCGACTCTATCACTCACGAATCAGTGTATTTTGACCACGAATTCGACTAGGATACAGCATCGCTTGGACGGCCTATATCTGGCTGGGTGACGGTCGCTATTTTTTCTGACGCTCCGAAAATAAACTCAGAGGAGGCTCGGGCGCGGTGGCCTTTCCGGCCTGGATGGTCACGGCCCAGATGGTCACGGCCTGCAGGCCGGGGGACGTCCTCCTCGCCCCGTCTCTCTCGCACTCGCGGGGCATGCCGTGCCGACGCGAGAGAGACAGCCCACGGACACGTGTCGCGGAATCAGTCCATCCGGCTCCGCCGCTCCACGCGGCCTCGCCGTGGCCGCCTGAATAATTCGCGCGCGGGGACGACATCTTCGATGCTAAATTTAACGCCTCAAAGGCCTTGAAGGCGTCTGAAGGCCGAAAGGTCCGCGGGTCGTTTCCGGGCAGAAGCCGCGGCGCAAGCCTGCAAAGCGGCAAGCCGGCCAAGCAGCCAAGCAGCGGGCCGCTTTCATAATTCACCTGATGCTACCCCGGCGGACGAGGATCCAACGGCATCCAAGGAGGCAGGTGTCATCCAAACGATTAAGGGAGATGTCGCAGTCGGCTTAGCTGGGCCGGGCCCGGAGAGAGAGAGAGAGGAGAGAGAGAGAGAGAGAGAGAGAGAGAGAGGGGGGAGAGAGAGAGGGGGGGAGGGGGGGGAGAGAGAGAGAGAGAGAGGAGGAGAGAGAGAGAGGGAGAGAGAGAGAGGGGGAGGAGAGGGAGAGGAGAGAGAGGAAAAAGAGAGGGGGAGAGAGAGGGGAGAGAGAGGGAGGGAGAGAGAGAGAGAGAGGGAGAGAGAGAGAGAGAGAGGGGGGAGAGAGAGAGAGAGAGAGAGACGCCTGCCGCAGGACGGCGCTGATCTTCTGCGGCGGCAAGCGCTTTCGGCCGGGAATCTGAGCCGCTTTCAGAGCGCGTCCGCCGCGCTGCGTCGCGTCACGGCTTGTCACGGCTTGAGCCGCGCTGACACGGAGCCTGACACAAAGCGGGCCACTGCGGGGCACTGCGGGGCAGCAGCGAGGATCATCTGCAGCCAACTTGGCGGTGCTCGATATTCAGTACAAGCGGCGGCATGCGTCTGGCCCGGTGGAACAGAAAACAACTTTTTGAAAAATGCCTGGCCGCACCGACGTCGATTTTTCTCCCCCCGTTGGTTTCTGATGTTGAACCGAGGTCGTTTGGACCGCCACATCCTCCACCACCCACGCAGGGCCACGCAGGGCGCTGACAGGGGAGCCTGCAAACACCGCGCCAACTCCAGGAAAGTGCTTCGCTCTCTCTTCCAGTCTTCCAGTGTTCCTCCCTCGCCTCGCCGCGGAAGGATGTGGTGTCAGCGTGGCCGTGACCGGCGCCATCGCGACCGCAGGGCGGCAGGGCGCGTCTCCGAAGGGTCGTCGTTTCGTCGCTCTGTCTCTCTCGCACCCCTGCGGGCCGCCCCGTGAGTGCGACGGAGAGAGAGCGACGCCCCCTCGGAACGAGTCCGCGCCACTGCTGACCCAGCCTCATCGGTCACCGCTTCTTGTCGTATCCCTGTCCTGATGCGTGGCGCGTGTGTGTTCGCAGGGACCCTGACCGTTAACATGAGTGTGCTGTTACTCAGCCTCGCTTCGCCCGACGAGAGCAGCCTGGTAAGTGAAGGACAGTGTCACTGTCATGCCCGGCCGTGCCACAGGCCGTGCCGCACCTGGGACGCGACGTGGCAGCCTAGCACGCCGCGCGGGCCACGGCACGCCACTCGCCTGTCAAAGTCACCGGCCTGCCTCCGGCCGAGTCCATACTGGTGTACCCCGTTTTCCAAACAATTCTCCGCCAACTTGCTCGGGTTTTTGAAAATGTTTTTGGTTTATGTTGTTTTATTTTTCCTCTTCGAAAACGATCCCATCCTCACTGACCTTTGATTTTCAAATGGCAAAGAAAGCGTCGCTTTTTTGTTGCTTCTGTTGTTGTCGTTGCGACTTGGCCGAGGTGCGCTTCATCAGGGCTGCTGCCTCCCCGCAGCGCCTGCGCCACGCCACGCCACGCCACGCCACGCCACGCCACGCCACGCCACGCCACGCCTCGAGGCGGACGCGACGCCACGCCACGCCACGCCACGCCTCGAGGCGGCGCCACGCCACGCCACGCCACGCCACGCCTCGAGGCGGACGCGACGCGAGGGCATTTACGACTGGCTGGGGCGGTGCCGGGCGGCGCACAATAGCGTCTGAGGGCCGTGCCGTGCCGCCGTGCCGCCGTGCCGCGCCCTAACGCACCGCGTCGCGCATTGTACCGTCGGCAGTGGCGTGGCGCAGCAGACTGAGAGTCGTTTTCGTCGCCCTTTCTCTCTCGCACCTAGGGGACGTTCGTCACGAGTGCGAGAGAGACGGAGCGACGAGGGCGACTCTCGGAATCAGTCTGCAGGGGCGGCGAGAACGTCTAGGGAGGGACGCGGCGGGTGTGGGTGGGCTGGAGGACCTGCAGGGTGATTCCGCCCCGGTGTCGCGCTGTCTCTCTCGCACTCATCGGGCGCCCTGACTGGGTGCGAGGGAGACAGAGCGCGCTCTTCGGAGTCAGCCTGGAGCAGACGGATGTGTTGCGACCGAGAGGGCCGTAAGAAGGGTGCGTGTGGTGCGCGAAAGAGAAAACTCCCTCTAAAAGAGAAAAAATCCTCTATAAGGGAGAAAACCAGGGAAAAAACCTCTAAAAGAGAAAAAAAACCCTGGGGCTCGGTTTGGCTATCACCCCAAGCAGCCCTGTTGCTTAAACTTCTAACTGCAAATTGCCTCCATTTGGAAATGTTACATGTTTCTGAAAGCCAAAAGACGGCGGCAGCCCGGCAGCGGGGCATAACAGCGTAATGACAATGGAAGTCCTCCCTCATTTCTATCATCCAGCAGCACTCGGCAGGGCGCGGCGTGGCGTGGCACGGCGCGGCTCCCAAAATGAATAAACGATGAAAACTTGTTCGTCGTCCACTCCGTGACTCCGTGGATCCACTCCGGCGTCCGCGCGGGATTAGCTTACAGCACTCCGTCCAGGGAAGCCACGGACGGCGGGGCGAGGCGAGGCGAGGCGGGGTGGGGCGGATGAAATATGGAAGCACAGCGGCACCAGGGGGCGCTGGGCGCTGCACTGCACTGTGCATGCCGCTGGGAGGCGCGAGTTTTACTCGTCCAGTTTCACTCGCAACGTCTCGAAGGGCACACTGACAAAAACTTGTCTTGGATCCAAGGCCATGGGTCAGCCGCCGTGCCGTTGCCCTCAGAGACGACCGCAGTTTTTGCGCGTGTAGTGAGTGATTTGTTGCACGGTAAAGCTGGGAAGGGATTTTGGCGCGCACCGGCCGGGCCGGGCCGGGCCGCGAGTTGAAGGCCTGAAGCTTGGACGCCTGCGTGCCCGAGTTTTCCTCACCGCCCGCGGACTCACGGCTCGCCACCGCCAGAGCCGGCAGCCGGCTTAAAAAGTTATCCCCCCCGCGTGTGGCCGAAGCTGGCCAAAGCGAGGCCAACGCGGCCAAAGCGCGCCCGTGGGACTGGAGTCCAGGACCAGCCGGGGAAGCCGCAAGCCGCAGACGATGAGACTTTAAACGGTGCGGCGCGTGCGGCCTGCGGGAAGGAAGGGGGCTGCCCGGGGACTTCAGGGGCCTCCAGGGGCTGCCGCCGAGCGTTGGGCAGCGCGGTGACAGGCGCCGCGTGTTGCCGTGATCGCCGGACAGGGAGCCACGTGCCAATCTTCCCAGGACCTCGTGCTGTCACGCGTGCCCAGAGCCCAACCTAGCCCTGCCATACGGACGACCACGATGAGATAGATCACTCAATCTCGGAAACGACTGCCGTTCAATGCCCGATCGACGCACAGAACAATGCGAAATATTCCACGAAACATCATTATTTTCACTCTTTTTCGAAGAATTTGCTTATCTTTCTTTTTTGGGGGGGCGGGTGCGTCCATCCGAACGGAAAATTATTTCTCACGATACGAAGTTGGAGAGTGGCCCCCTAGCGGCCGCGCGGCGCAGCGTTTCTTGCGGCCCCATTCTTCTCGCCGAAGGGGAAAGCAGAATCATCAGCGGACTATGGCCTTCCTCGCCGGCCTTCCTCCGCTAGTGCCGCCAGTGCCCGCCGGCCGGCCGCGCTAAAAAGAAGGCCAATTCATTTACAAGCCGCACGCACGGCGCGGCGCGGTGGGGCACGGCCGGCCACGGCTGGGAGAAGAAGGGAATGCCAGCTGTATGGGCACTCGAGGAGAGTTCGTTTGTTGTTGTGAGGGCGCGGCGTGGCGCGGCGTGGCCCCGGCCTTGCTCCCCGGCAAGACCTCCCCCCCCCCCTCTTTCTTCTTTACAAATGAGGGCCGTCTTCCTCCCCATCCGTCTTGTGTGCGCCTCGCCTCGATTTGCGGCGCTGTGGTTCATCAAACGTGCAGCGGCTCCCACCACTCGCAACGATAACCTAAAAAAAAAAGCCATTCAAAAAACGCGCTGCTCTTTTCGCTTTCGGTGTTTTCCTTTTGTTTATTCAGCCAAGATATCGCAGAGTTGTGTCTTTCCGTCTGGTTGACAACGCCGCTGCTGTCGTTTCAGCCGGCTAAACTGTGGTTTTCGGTTTTGTTTGTTGTCGTCTTTTTTTTTCGCCACGGGATCCCCCTGCTCTGTGCTGGTGTAAATAAGCAGTGGCCGCTGGGTTGCCATTTCGCCCCTTTCTGCTGTGCCCTCTCTTTCCGTTGGCAGCCCCCCTCACCCCCCCCTCCCCCCCCCGCGAGCGGCACTTCCTGCTGTCCGTTTATTCCATCCCCCTCCCCTCACACGCTGGGGCATTGAGGCACCGTGACGCGGCGTGTGCAGTCCGCAGGTCAGTGGCGATGCAAGGGGAGGGGGAGGAGACTGGGATGCGGCAACGGTGCGAACGACGGCGGACGCGTCGCGGACACCGGGCTGCAGTCCGCCATCAAGTGCCCCGCCGTGGCCGTTATCTCAACGCTGTACGCCCCCGGCCTGCCCCCGGCCTGCCCCCGGTCCGCCCCCGGTCCGCCCCCGGCGCGAGTGCGGCACTTAGGCGCAGTTTTTAATGGTGGCGGGGCGTGGCCGTGGGCAGGGACTTGAGGGCCGCGACACGGATTGCGAGGGGGGGGGAGAGGTAGGGAGGTAGGGTTGCCACCGTGGCCACCACGACCTTCACGGCCTCCGCAGCCACACTGCCGCGTGGCCGACATGAAAGGATCGAATAGTGCAGCGCGCCCTCCGCTGCAGAGAGTGACGTGTAGGGTTGCCAGCCGCCCTCCCGCCGCGCGCTGCAGTTGCCAACTTCCGAGTACGTCGTGCGGGGCGGCTCTCGGGGCGGCCCGCGGAACGACGAGCGGCGGAGCGGAGACTGCAGCGCCGTAAACGCACGTTGCCGCTTCGTCTTCGGAATCTCGTTAAAGATCACGAAGTAGCCCGGGTGTCATGCTGCGCCAGGCAGATAAACGAAGTTCGACTTTGAACGCAAAACCTGTCGAAATTCCTACGCGCAAAGGCAATTTCTGGTCGACTGCTCGCTGCCAAGACGTCGCCGAGACGGCGTGACGTGATTGGTGGAGGGGTTTGTGGAGTGAGGCATCGTGGCAGCAACCCGTCCAAGCCCCCCTCGGTGGCACGGCGCCCCCCGCCGGGCTATAAAATAGTAAACAATAATTCCCCCCCCCCTTTTCCTGCTACACCCCGGGTCAAGTGCAGGCTCACGCGAGCACGGCGCACGAGGCTATCGGGAAAGGGATATGTCCCCGGTGCTTTGTTGATTTTGTTGTTTCCATATTGATTGTGCGATCGGCTCTGCGCTCACGCCTGCTCGAGGCCCCCCCTCCTCCTCCTCCCCCTTACCTCGATGCAACCGGGACGGCAGCGCTAATGGAGCGTGCAGACTGAAGCTCTTCGGACGATGCTGCATTTAGTTCCATCGAACCACCACCGAGTTTTCGGCCCGGGCCTCGTGTCGCTCCTCCTTGTCTCTTGCCTCCGAGAGTCGACGTTTTCGAGAGTCACGGCTGTGACCGAATGTCGAACCTGACTGACCTGCCCCCGATGGACGATCGTGAACGCGAATGTGGGTAAACTTACGAACGTGATCAAATGGGAGCCCATCTCCGATGGCCTGGTTTAAGGGCCCTCGGATCGCGGCGGTAAAAGTGACATGAACGCACTGAAGCCCCGCTACGTTCTGCTAGCGAGGGGCGGGGCGCCCCACCCCGCCACGCCCCGCTACGCGCCACCGGCCACGGACTCGCCTTTTGATTTGCTGGCGCGTTCTTTCAGAAATACGAGGTGGAGTTCCTGCTGCAGCAGCAGTGGCTGGACCCGCGGCTGCAGTACTCGAACAACAGCCGCTACGACTTCCTGAACGCCATCCACCACCACAGCGACCTCTGGCTGCCCGACACCTACTTCATCATGCACGGCGACTTCAAGGACCCCCTCATCCCCGTGCACTTCGCCCTGCGAATCTTCCGGAACGGCACCGTCAACTACCTCATGCGGTAACGTACACTGGAGGAAATCAATTAAGAAATTTAGAAAAAAAGGTACCTCTGGAAAAGTTGCCTAAGATTCTTCGTAAATTCAGGAACGTTCTCCGTAAACTACCGAGAACCTTCGTAAATTTATAGAAGTTCCTTCGGTGGCGTGGTTTTTTTCCGTTTTTTTTTCTCAGGTACCTGCCCGGCGATTTAATTTGACAGTGCATTCACAGAAAGCGTTTGGTCCCGCAGGAGACATCTCATCCTGTCCTGTCAAGGACACATCGCCACCTTCCCGTTCGACGACCCCCAGTGCTCATTCGCCATGGAGAGTAGTAAGTAGTCCTTGAAGTGGTCGACCCGAGGACTCACTCTCTCTCTCTCTCTCTCTCTCTCTCTCTCTCTCTCTCTCTCTCTCTCTCTCTCTCTCTCTCTCTCTCTCTCTCTCTCTCTCTCTCTCTCTCTCTCTCTCGAACGGGTCCCCGTGGAGAGGGAAACAAATAGAGAGCAAGAACGCAAAAAAATCACTAAATCCTTAAAAAATTAAAATTAATGAACAACAACAATGATTTTAAATGACATGTTAGGCAAAGTATGTCTTTATAAATTCTCAAAGAAATTCTTAGAAAGTACCCGACGAAAATACGCGTTAATTCTTCAGGAAATTGGAAAACCACTCAAGACCAAAACTACTCACCACAGGATTCAATTGATTCGCCAGGGCGAACATCAACAGTTGCAAGCCGTTTGCCCCTCCCCGGTTTCCTAATACATTTCTCCTCGAGTCTGACGCTTTGTTGTCTTGCTCGTGTTTCTCATCCCGCCGCCCCGTCTCGCCGTCCCTTAACTTAATTTCAGCCCCGCTGCCCCGGCCCGGCCCTGCCCCGGGGCATGCAGAGGGGCAAAAGAGAGAGAGAGAGACAGGGGGGGGCATCACTTAGCCGTGGGATGCGTCTAACTACGTTCATCATGCCTTTGCGTGTGACGTTCCGAGACCCGAGGCTGCTTCGGGCTGCCAGTGCATGTGCCCCGGATGTGCCCGCTGTGGCGAGCGGGAGCCAATCAGGGCTGCTGCCGCTCTGATGGCAGACAGAGGGAGAGAGAAAGACGGCACGCGGAAAAAAAACCTAAACAACAACAAAAAACACATAGCAAACGCGGTGACAGAAGGGGGCAAAGATCAAACGGGGAATTCTCCCTCGGTCTCTGGAATAAGGAAGGCCGCGGCGAGTGGCAGGCGGCCAGGCAGGCAGGCAGGCAGCCAGCCGGCGGCGGCGGCTGATGAGGACCGAGTTGAGGGACGTGCGGCGCGGCGCCGAGGACGCCGAGGACGCAGGGCGGGGCGGGGCGGGGCGGGGCGACGTCAGGGACGCTGATGAAAAGGCGAGGACTTTTGGATTGCCGAGGGAGGGGCCCGGCCAGGCCAGGCCCGGCGCCGGGGGCAGCAGGCCAGGCGGGGCGTACCGGGGCGTACCGGGGCGTGGCGGGGTGGGACAGCGGTGGTCATCTTCAAGTCCACCCCCCCCCCACACCTGTCAGGAATGTCCGGGCGGAGCTGCCTCGAAATAGAAGCAAAGTTGGGGGGGGGGGGGATACGGTCGGTGTGACATGTGCCAACGCGGCCAACCAAGGCCCGGCGGCGGCCTAGCGGCCCGACCCGGAACGACCGGGCATGCAGCCGTCAATCAATACCACGGACACGGCCTCCGCGCCCGGAGCCCAAAATAGCAGTTGCGTCGTTACTTCCTTTATAAGCGTTCTCGCGCTGCTCGGCTTCGTTCGGTAAACATAAAATCCCTTATCCCGAATTAGGGATGCGGCGGTGCGTGCCGGAGGGGTATACAGTGCATCGTGCCAATCATGGTGACGCCGACAAAGGCCTGAGGGGGGGGGCGCATGACAGCCAGGGCCGCCGCTGCTGCAGAGCGTTGCAGTCCGACGCCACGGCGTGCGGCCCGGGGCGGTGTGGGAGCACAGTGTCAAAGGCGAAGGGAGGGAGGGGGAGCCTCCGTCGCGCGTGCCGCTGCTGTTGTTGTTGGCGCTGACTGTGTTGTTGTTGCTTGTTGCAGTCTCCTACGAGCAGAACCAAATCCGCTACGTGTGGAAGAACGACGAGGACACGCTGCGCACATCGCCCTCGCTCACGTCGCTCAACGCCTACCTCATCAAGAACTCGACCATCCCCTGTCCGACCAAGGCCAGCTGGAGGGGTGAGTCGCGCCGTCGCCGCCGCCCTCGGCCGCCTCGGTCGCCTTGCAGACTCATTCCGAGAGTCTGTCTCTCTCGCACCCATGGGGGCTGTCGCCTGAGTGCGAGAGAGACAGAACGACGGAAAGGGTCCTCTGAACCTGCTCGCCACCGGCGTCGCACACAAGTTGCAGTTCGCCGTCTCGCGCCGCTCGCGCCGCGCTGTCTTTCGAGAAGCCCTAGATTGCATTACAGAGGCAAACAAGTTTCCTTACAATGAGATTACCTGCGCTACTTACCCTGCGAGTTCGTGTCGCCTTGCCGCGGCGGAGGCGAGGACAGCGACGGCATGCGCCAGCCCGCCAGCCCGCCAGCCGGGGAGAGAGACGTCGTCGTCGCTCTGCGTGTGTCTCTGTCGTCGCACTGCTGGGGCGTCCCGGGTGCGAGAGAGACAGAGCGTCCTCGGAATCGCTCGACAGACGGCGGGCGCCAAGTTGGGCGCCCCGTCAGCCACCCCGTCATCCCCCGCTGCCGCTGCACTCCCCGCTCCCTGAGCAGTCCCCGCGCGCGTCGAGAGCGCCGTGGCGGTAGGCAACCTGCCCTCGGCGCTGCAGCGCTGTGCTCGTGCTGCCTACCGCCACGGCGCTCTCTCTCTCTCTCTCTCTCTCGCTCTCTCTCTCTCTCTCTCGCTCTCTCTCTCTCTCTCTCGCTCTCTCTCTCTCTCTCTCTCTCTCTCTCTCGCGCTCTCTCTCTCTCTCTCTCTCTCTCTCTCTCTCTCCCCCTCCCTCCCTTCCGAGGCGGCCACTGCTGCGCGACGCGCCCAAATTGTGCCTCTTATCTTGGCGACGTATCGCGTCCCTTCGTCTGTGTGTGTGTGTGTGTGTGTGCGACGGGGCGACAGCCATTCAGCGAACGCCACCGGCAACTCGGCCCGACAACGTCCCGGGCGAGCTTCCCCCGTGAATGCACGGCCTCGCGCGCGGCGATGCGATCTGTCAGGTAAAATTGCCGCCCGCTGTTGCCAATTAGTGTCCGAATGAAGGAGCGAGCGAGGCGGAGCGACGCGTCTGAAGCGACACGCCGGGACAATGGAGTCCACTGCAGTGTCGTCGTCGACAGTGGCGTCGACATTCTGCCGTTCGGCCAGTAGAAGGCTGGAATCACGCATGACTCTTCCAGTGTAGAGCGCGCTACACGGTACCAAACCTTTCCGGTTGAAGCCACGCATGTCGCTCGGCGCGCAGCCATTTCCCGGCGTGCTTGACGCCCTTATTGAATCTCGACAGCACAGGCAAGGCCAGGCAAGCCCAGGCAAGGCCAGGCTGGTTTACTGGCATGCTTTACTGCCGTCCACCGAGGCCGTGCCGGGCCCCGACACTGCAAAACCGCCAGCCAGGCCGCAACTTTGTCGGCAGTGTCCTCCCCTGCCGCCTGCCGGCCGGCCGGCCCGCTGGCCTGCTGGCGTGCCTTGGGCGTGCCGACGCTGTATTGTGATGGCCTTTAAGGGCCATTTCGACGTGGCGCCATTGGAAGGCGAGGCGAGCGAAGCACAGCGAGGCACAGCGAAGCGAAGGCATTGAGACGCATGCATAAACAGTAGTGCCAGCCGGGCCGCGCCGGGCCGGGGCGAGCCGAGCAGTAGGCCGCCGTTCGGGGATCAACCCCAGGCTTCCCGAAACTGGCCCCCTTTTAGTGTTGTGCTCACTTTGTTTGGATAAGAAAATTGCGAGAAATCGCTCCGACGCTCCGCCTTCTTGCGTCCCCGCAGCTGGGTCGCCGCGCCCCGCCCCGCCACGCCGTCTGTTTTTCCCGCGGAAATGGCGGGCTAGGCCCGGTTGGGCCCGGTCCGGAGCGAGCGGGGCGGGGACGGCGGGGACGGGTAAACGGATTATGGCGCAGGCCGTCGCGCGTTGCTGCCGCGTTGCTGCCGCGTTGCTGCCGCCGTGCCGCCGAGTGTTGGTCGCGAGTAGCCCTTCTCGATGGCGCGCTCCCAACAAGAAAGTCGCATAATTTTATTGCGCGTCTTTCTGTCCCTCGTGGACGATTTGCGCGCAGTGCCTTCCAGTGCCGGCCCCGCCAGTGCCGCGGCGTCGCGCTGTTGAATTCGCACCCTGCAAGACGCGGCCGGACTGCAACCCTCTGTTTGATCTGGTTGCAGGGAACTACAGTTGCCTCAAGGTGGACCTCATCTTCACGAGGGATCGCGCCTTCTACTTCACCACGGTGTTCATCCCAGGCATCATCCTGGTCACCAGCTCCTTCATCACCTTCTGGCTGGAGTGGAACGCGGTGCCGGCCCGCGTCATGATTGGTGAGGCGATGGCCGGGCGGCGGCGCGGTGGCCGAGCGCGTTAGGGGTGCTGTTCGGCGACCCTGGGGACCGGCGTTCGAATCCCCGAGCATGTTTATCATTTTTATTCCAGGCTCGCGCTGTTTGATTCAGCTCCGTAATCAAACTCGGAGGACGCGAGAAACCTGAGAGAGGGTAGGAGTGACCCACAACACATGGCGTTGTTTTTGAAAGGTTCCACACGCCAAAAAAAACTGTCCTTTTTGTCGCGAGCGGGACGGCACGCCTGGCTGCACCCTGTGGTGGTCAACCAGTGCATGACGCGCGTGTGTGTGTTCCGTGTGTTCCCACAGGCGTGACAACAATGCTCAACTTTTTCACCACGTCCAACGGCTTCCGGTCCACGCTGCCCGTCGTGTCCAACCTGACGGCCATGAACGTGTGGGACGGCGTGTGCATGTGCTTCATCTACGCGTCGCTGCTCGAGTTCGTGGCCGTCAACTACGTGGGACGCAAGCGGCCGCTGCACAACGTGGTGTACCGGCCGGGCGAGAACCCCGTGACGCAGGTAAGCCGCTAGCTGGGGCTAGCCGCCTGCTAGCCGCCTGCTAGCCGCGCGGTGGCGGGAGGTTGTCCGAGCCGTGCCCGGCACGAGTCCGGCACGCGGGGAGTTTCTTCTCTCTCTCTCTCTCTCTTTCTTTTTGTTCCAATCGCACTCCCCACTCCCATCCTGCAGACCGCCGCGTAGACCGAACGGCCGAACTGGGGGCCGCCGCGCCGCCGCGTCGGGGGATGTTTTCATTTCGTCCATCCATTTCCGTGCCGGTGCGGCTCTCTGCACCTAGCAAGCCAATCATTTCCATCCGTTCTTCCGGGGGGGGGGGGGGGGGGGCGGCACGACGAGTGCGTCAACGCTCCATTTTTTGTAACATACACGTATTTTTCTTTAGTCTTTCGCCCTCTGCGCGATGCCCCCTGCGCCAACATGTACAAAGCTTGAGGTGTTCGCACCGCAGCTCCCGCTGGCGTGCCTGCACGCGGCTGCCTGCCGGTCCTGGCGGCTGCACGCTGCCACACTGCTCTCGGTGGCGCAGTGGCGCGCTCTGGCGGCCGGCCCGCCAACTAACATTCTGGCGGCGGGGGCTGCGGCGGTTGGATTCATTTATTTGGGGGCAGTTTTCTTTGTTTTCGTTTCTTCATTTATTATTTTTTTTGTAACAAAACCTTCGTTGTTTTTTTTTGTCGGCCGCTAAGGCGCGTCACGCCATGCGTGGGTCAGGAGCTGCGAGCGGCTCGTCGGCGGAGAATGCGGTTAGCCTGACATTTCACCTTTTTCTTTACTATATTATTGATTTAGGTACATTTGATCGGCGGCTTTCTCCGCTAGGGACTGGCTGCGCTGCGCATGGTGGCATGAGCATCGCACTTTGTCTAGTGTCTATGATTAGTTGTTATCTCTAGACCTTTATCTCTCTATTTCTTTTCCGTCTCACTCTATTTTTGTGCGGGCTGCCCCCGGCCCGCGCCGCGTGCGCTCACCGAGTGTGCCGTTTCCGACCTTTTTCATTCTTTACTCATGTTCGCTCGTGTTTTGAGTAGCAGTCCTTCCGGTGAGTTTTAGTGCAGTCCGAATGTTCGGCCCGGCGCCCTTAGCATCGCTCAGCAGTGCCGTGTCAGGGGATGAAATGACCGCGGTTTCAAAACCAAAATAAATGGGCTCTGAACGTTTGTCTATCGACTTGAACGTGCCACGCCACGGTGGCTTCGCGACGCCAGCGCCCTCTCCGGGACCGGCGACTCCAGGAACCAAACTCTGTGCACCTTTCCCGTTTTCTTCTTTCCGTCTTTGAGAGTGGCCTTTAGATCCTCTTTGGTTTGATTTAGTGGTTTGAGTTCCTTGAAGCAGCAAAGCAGCACTGTGTGCCGTGTGTGCATGTCATCGTGTTCCAAGGTGAGCTCACCGAGTGGCAATCCCTCCCGCACTAACCTCCTGTAGTGCTGCTAACACGTCGGTGTTGGGAACGGGAGCAGACGGGCCTTCCTCTCGGGGTGCGGAGAACTAAATTGCAGCCAGGCCAAAAAAAAGTAGTGTCCCGTAGACACTCCTTTTTCATTCCTTCCGGTGTCGATCTCACCAGACCGCTCGCTCTTCCAAGCGGTTCGGAACTCGCAAAACTGAGCGACGGTGGTAAAATCCCGCTCGGCGATCAAAATAACATTGCCAGTGTTTGAGTGCGACAAGCAGCAGGGTCGAGGTGCGCGCTTCGCCTCTCCTTTCCTCCGGACACCGCTGGCGGCGTCGACCGGGCGTCGACGGCGTGGTCCCCGCACCGTCCTGAGGACGCCGTCGTCCCGTAGGTCCCGTAGGGGCTCGGGCGCGGCAGGCTGCGCCGCCGGCCGCCCCGCCGCCCTCTCCGCTCTCCTTGTTCTGTGTGTGTTCCAGCGCCTCCCGGCTGTTCTCAGCAGAATAGGCATGATCATGGCTACACCTTTGGTAAGACTGTCTGCTTGGCTGCCTGCTGCGGCGCATGCCTGGCCTGCCTGGCCTGCCTGGCCCGCCTCCTCCACTTGGCTTCGCTAAACCCGACCCCGGAACGGACAGAAAGGTGGTCTTTGCATGCGACTGTCTGAATAAATATCGAAAAAAAAAAACGAGAAAACTGCACCGCCGCCTCGCCTCCCCCGCGCGCAGTGCGCAGCACGCCGCCAGAGGGCCTCGCTGCGCTGGCAGGCGCCTCGTTGGCGTCGTGCCTCGTCGGCCTCGTCGGCAGGTTGGCTTTCCTTCCCGACGGCGGCCGCGTGCCGCGAGCCGAATGCCGGCATCTGCTGCCTTTCGCAGGCCTGGCAGGGCGATCCGGGGAAGGGGAGAGTGATTCGCACCGGGCAGGGCTTGTTTGCATTCTTTCCGTCTTCCTTTTTCTTGCGCGGCACCTGTCTGTCTCTCTCTTTTTCCTCGGGGATGCCGCGCGGCATGCAAATGATGGCGGGCTTCTGATTGGCTGCAACGACGCCTCAACGACGCTGATTTGGGCCGCGGCCCTCCCTTTGTGTTGGCGGGCATTTCGTCGAGTGTGTTGCCCCCCCCCCTTTTCCCTGTTTTCCATCACGACCCGGAGTGGGCGGGCAATGCGAAAACAGGCGGCCCTACGACGCCCGCCTAGTCGCTGCGAAGTCCCCCAAGGGCCAAAGGCCGACGGTGGCCGACGGCCTCGGCGTCCCTTAAGATGCCGGCGTGTCCCTGAAGGCCCTACACAGGCCCTACAGCCCACGGCCCGCAGGCCTAAGCTGATGTGACTTTTCCGTCCTGTTGCCCCAGTTTCGCCCTCCAATTCCCCCCCAATGCATCGCTTGCAAACTTTGTCGGACTCTTAAAAGACCCCCTCCCTGCCGTCGGCCTGCCGTCCCTCATGGTTGTCACTTCCAGGCCCGAATCCCCATCAGCATTTGAAAACGTTCTCGGTCGGCGGGGCGGGGCAGGGTCGGTCCCTGGGCTTTTCTCCTTAAGTGGCTCTGCGCAGCTCTGCGTCAATCAAAATGCGACCCGACACTGCCATTCAAGGAGCCGCTTCTTTACACACTTCTTCCTTCCTGCTCCACTTCCACTTCAGTTTCCCGCCTTCCGGCCGCCGGCATCGGGCGAGGCTTGCTCTCCCTCGGCATGGGCAGCACTCACGGTGGCCTCATCGCCACACTTTATTCTCCTTGCCCGACGTTTGCATGTGTGTGTGCGTGTGTTTGGGTCGCGGCCCGCGGCCAGGGCGGGGCCTCTGGGGGGCGAAACTTGGAGCGGGGCGGGAGTGGAGCGGACGGACACTCCCACACCGGCACAGTGAGTGTGAATGAGGTTCTGGGAAGGCGGCTGCCGCATGCTGCCGCATGCTGCCGCAAGGCTGACGTGCACTGATGGCGGCACATTCGTCCGTCCCGGCGGCACCGAGTCGCACCGACTAGCGTGTTACAAGGTTACCACCGTTACCACCCCTCGGCCCTGGGCCTGGGCCTTGGCCGTCGCAGATGCTATTTCCTTCCCCTGCTAAGCGCCGCTAAGCGCACCTTGCGAGGTAGGTGTCCTCCCGACGGCCACCCCTTGGAGGGTCCCTTCCGCCCAGACCGGGTCTGTCTCTCTCGCACTCCTTCGGAGCGCCCCACGAGTGCGACAGAGACAGAGCGACGAAAGCACTGTTCAGAATGAGCCCGCCGGCCCGTTTTGCAGTGTGGAACGGGATTGTGAATGTTGTGCCTTTCGCTGCGCCGACTGCCTGATGGCCTGAAGGCGCGTGCGGCGTGCGCCAAGGCGTGCGCGGCCTGCCAAGCTTAAACGCCTGCCGCTCCCGCTCTCGCTGCTTTCATTCCTGATTACAAAAGGCTTTTCTCTTCCCTTGCGCGCGGCAGGCGCCCCTCCCCCTCCCTTACCCGTCTTGGCCCCGTCCCCGCCCGCGGTACCTGCGCTGAGTTTTCCTCCCGGCCGTCACTTTTGGAGAAGTTGTGTCACCGCCACCCCCGCGCCACGTCGGGCCACGGCGCCGCGGCCCGCAGGCGGACAGGACAGGAGCCCGTCGCGGCGCGTCGCGGCCAACGCCTCGGAGACGGCGGCCGCGGCGGCGAGAGACACGGCGATGCGACGCCCGCGGGGGCCGCGCGCCCGATGTGGCGGTTGTCATGTTGCGGGAGTGGGCCGTAGCAGAAGTTGTTGTTGTTGTTTTGGTCCCTCATAGATGCATGCTCTTGAGAGATACAGTATGTCGCCCTGTTTCCAGACTTTCAATTCCTCTATTCGTCGCAGTCGCCAGTCCTGGGTCGGTCGCAGGGTGAGTACGTCCCGTGCGTCCGGGACGGCGTGGATTCTGCATTAACCCGTTTTAGTGTGACGTAACCCCTGTAACACGCGCCCCCTAGCTGCCCCTCCCCCACCCGCCCCTGCTCGCCCCCTCCCCCGCTAGCCTCCCGCCCCTCTCCGCCCCTGGCCGTCGTTCCTTCCAGTGCGCTAGTCGCCGCGCGCGGCGCCTGTCGTCGGCTGGGTAGGCAACCCATCGGACAGCGCCGGCGTCGTGGCGCGCGCACCGTCGCGCCCTCCTCCTCCTCGTCGTCTAGGCCTCTAGGCTCTCTGGCACGACGGCGGCAAGCGCAGCAAGCGCAGCAAGGGTGGTATAGCTTGCTGAGGCTTGAGTCTGGCTACCCGCTCCGCTTCGGCCTCGGCTTCGGCCTCATCCGGCTGGCCGGCCAGTGCAGGGGACTGGGCCGGGCTGGGCCGGGCAGGGCCCCACGCAGAGCCACTGACCACCACGCAGTCCGAACCGAACGGCGGCGCGGGTCCGCTTCTGCACCGGGTGCATGGTATCCTCTGTCTCAACTCGCACATAGGGGGCATCATAGTGCCCGCGACACTAAACCAACCAACAGATAACCGTTGTTGTTTCTAGCTATCTATGAGCACAGAACTAATCTCAAAGTTATTGTAGACTTGTAAATACTACTTATTAGCTTTCCTTTTTTTAAGATATAAATAATGTCAGTAATGTTTTTGCTTAGTCGATCTATGACATAGTGAGTTGGTCTTTTTCTAACGTAGATGAGAAACGAATTTTGTGCGACTGCACATAATTAATCATAGCCTCGGCCGTAACTGCTTAAAAACTAATTTTTATAAGGGCGATGAGTTTTTTATTTTAGGTGATTTCAGCTAGAGTAGCTCTAAACACACTAAATGTGCATATATTATTTTTAAGGCTTCAATTATTTTCAACAAAAAATGTCTTACGGAAGCAGAGATTTATATAATGCAGCGTGTCAAGTCTCATCTGTTCAACCAATTATTTTTATTTTTGTTTTGTTGTTTTTTGACAAACGAAGTTATAAAAATTTAGCCATAAAGATATCCCAATTGCTGTGACCGACATTCTAATAAGGGATTAAGTGTAGTGAACGCCTTCCTAGACGTTTTTTCCTGTCTTTGAAAAACAGTGGTTTCGTTGGCGTCCGGCGGTATTCACGAAGCCCTAAATGATTTGCACCTCCTTCGTTCTCTTCTCTCTTTTTTTTTTTTTTTTCTTTCTTTTGAAAATCAAAAATTGACCCATCTCTTTTGTTGCACGTTGTGCCGGAGTCCTAAGGCTGCCCATGCTGTTGCAGGGCGACAAGAAGGAGGGCTCGACGGCGCCCAGCGAGATCGTCTCGTGCACCAACTGCGGGCCCAACCCCTGCACGCACCCCGCCAACAACGGATGCGTCACGGAGGTAAGGCAAAGCCCGGCAAAGCGCCCCACACTGGTAAGCGGTATCTGCCCTCCATCCGGCCGATTCGGCGCGCCTGCGTGCGCTCTGCGCTCGCTGAACACGGCTGAACTTGTTGCAGGTCCGGAAGCGCGAGCCGCCGCACCCGATCCGCGTGGCCAAGACCATCGACGTTATCGCCCGCATCACCTTCCCCGCGTCCTACGCCATGTTCCTCGTCTTCTTCTTCTACTACTACCCGAACCCGGGCAGCGACTGAGGGGCGGCGCGGCGGCGAGGGCGATGCCGAACTAGCTGTGACAAGCACAACCACGAAGCGCCCACCAGGCGAGAGTGTGTGTGTGTGAGTGCGTGTGTGAGAGTGAGAGTGTGAATGAGTGTGTGAGTGTGCCAGCTACAGCTGTCCAACTTTTGCGCGTTTCGCGGAAGGACACCGAGACCTGCCTACCCGAGGACGCCACCGCGAGGACGCCGTCAAACACCGGCGCCGCCCTTCTGCGCACGGCAGCGCTGGCAGTCGCGAGGGACTCGGCCTGCACCCAAACAGTACCAACTAACCGCTGACTACACTGCCCCTGGAGGCTGGACTCTCCAGCCTGGCCCTGGAGCCTCTGGAGCCCGGCCGCTGGACCAGGGCTGAATGGCGAGCCCGTTGCCTAATCGGAGCCGCACTGTTAAACCAGACGAACATTCGTACTTTAAAATGTGTAACACATTGTGACTCTCTTCTTGCAAACTCTCTCGCTGCAAAGGCAATGGTGGTGCTGGATTCAGTTCTGGTCCACGTGTTTTAGTTGTTGTGTTTCACTTTTTAACAGTCTACTAGTCAACATCTAGTCAAGTTTATTCTATATGCGCGCTAGAAGCCAGGATGCTGATATTTCGAGTTGCCATTGTTGGACCAGTGCTCAACGTTTATTTCCCGCCAGAAGAAGACAAAGTTGCGCTGTTGGTCTGAAGCCCATCTTTGTGTATTCCTTTAATTTGTCCTGCAACGCGTTCCTTGTTTTCTTTAACGGTAGAGGCTCCCCCAGTCCCTTCCAAATCCTGTCCCTTTTCCCGTAGGAACTTTATGATAGTAATGGACCAAAAAACAACTTTTGCTTTCAACATCAAGGAGTGGTTATTTTTTCTCCCAGATTATTAATTATGTATTGATTAACGTATTGTTAAGGGAATAATTTATTCGAAAGAAAGTTGGTATTTATTATGATTAGCTCTGTTTTCTTAAATTTGCCTGTCGATCAGGTTTTTTTACTATGTAGTAACGAGTACGATTTTACTCTCTATAGCTATGAAGCACATCGTTTTATGTACAATTTCTGCGGTAGAAACAAGTATTGTTATTTATTGTCACTCATCATGATTGGAAATTTAGGAAGCTCAACCTTTGCCCACGTTTTGTTTTCTCAAGTCATGTTTGGATGCACTAGTTTCGCCATGCCGTACTATACTAGACTGTTTACAATTGGTAGGTTTTTTTTTAATACCCGGAGCAAATATAAAATCCAGACCGTTTTGCATTTTTAATCACGTTTTCGACAGTGTAGGGGTGCATTTCCGCGTGCTTCGCGGGCCTGTCTTAATCCGAAGCGCCACGCACTTTTCATCGGTCAGCGCGCTTCCCCATCCGCTTTCCTCATCTGCCTCGAGACGGCGTTGTCGTCTGTCTCGCTCTAGGCGCGCGCGCTCAAGCCGCTTCGTTCCATGCGTGCGACGGGGTTTTCAAACACACTCATCTCCCCCCAGAGCCTCGTGGAAACATCTTCGTTGTGAACTCGCGCCGAGTCTACGTAAAATATTGTGCGTAAGTGAGGCGCACTAATTAAAAGTGTAGGCTGCAATTACGCACTAAATTGCACGCAGAAGTACGTGCGTTGTGGGGAGGCAGTCCATAAAGGATCTAATGTGAGGAAACCGGAAACACGCGAGGCCGCGCCCTCTCGGCCGCCCATTAGTCATGCGAGGAGTGGTGGCCGTATTAGTCGCATTTAAGTCTATTTCTCTAGTCCCTCTCTCCGTCGTTTCGACATACCACTAAGCGCTGTGAAAATGCAATAAATGAGTGAGTGAGTGAGTAGCTTAAGAAAACGCAGGCTACTTCGGGAACCAATGATCCGTCTTGGCGCCGACAGGGCAGGCAGTCGTGGTCCTGCCTGTCCACAGAGGAAGGAAGGCACGGCATCAGGTTGACGGCAACTGCCTGCACCAACCGCGCCTCGACGGCCCGAAACGCTCTTTGTTATTAGAGTTTGCACACATCGCACTTGAATCGTAATTATTTCAAAAGCTCTCGCAACGTTCTGTCTTTTCTACTGGGAAGTGCACTTGTGCATGTCATGTTGTATTTTCAAGTAGTCTGTTATTTGTACTATCGATTATTATGATTATTATTATTATCATCATCATTATTATGATTATTATTACCGTTTTAAACAATTATTGTTGTTATATTGTTCTTTTTACTATGATTCCCGTTTGTTTTTACTGTGGAATCGTCATGAAAGATTAATAGTGAGATTATTTCTAATAAGGATATTGCATAAGAAATGTAATGGCATGTTAGTTATTGTTATTACAATTATGGTAAATTTGTTTTTCTTCTTGTTGTGATGTTATGTTTGCCTGAATCTTTGCTGGAGCACAGGTGTGGAGGTGAAGGTTAAGGTTTTAAACAAATAGTCTTTAACGTGTTGAGGCCGTAGGGGTCGGCAGCGTGTTGTCTTGGGGCACAATTCGTGTATCTAAGCAGAGCCATTTCCTTAAGTGAAGATATTCAAAGTGATACTTAGCCACTCCCGTTTAAATTCAATGACTAGTCCGGTGTCACCGCATTCGAATAACAAAATTCTTTGTTGGTTCCCGTACAATTTGTTTTTAAATCGCTCGCACGCGCGTTTGTGTCGTGCGTTCCGTTCATTCCCGCCGGCTTGGTGGCTTATTTCGCAGTCTGTTGCCAGCGGCAAGTCTCGCTTTGGACGTCTCCACTCTAGTTGCACGTAGTTCGTGTTGTTTGTTAAATACCGACCACTTTTAAAATGTTACAATTTTCCCGCACTAAATATTCGATTTTACCAAGGGATTTTTCCTTATTTTAGTACTCCCATGTGATCGATTTTGTTCCGATGTAAGTTGGAGCAAAACCTACGTAGACCTAAGTATTATTTTATTGTCTTTATTTTGTCACCGTCATTCTCATCGTCCCATTCTTATCATTAGTGTTATCATTAGTCATGGGTACTCATCACTCACATGCTATGCCGCTTGCATGTCAGTCATATTTTACATATTGACCATGTAAATACCTATTATTACTACCAGTATAGCAAGCTGTACATAATTTCTTGTATATTTTTCGGAACATGATTTTCAATAAAGGGATTAAGCAGTTCCCGTGACGAGATAGCCCGGCGTTGTCCTTCTAATGACTCACCACCCGAATCGACACAAAAATAAACAAGTTTTATTAATAATTTAAGCAACACGTAAACAGCTAAACAATAAATAAAGAAGTATCACAAGTAGAATTTCGTCCCTCTTGGACAAAACAGAAAAATAGACTTCCCCGGGGCTGCGCACTGTCAAAAAGTAAATAACTTTTAATCGACTCCAGTTTCCAGAGAACCTCGAAATCGACTCATAATGAGCGCGAATCAGTCAAACTCGCGGATTCGGTCGATATGACTTACTTTTTCAGGAGTGTGCGCGTGTGCGCCCCAGGACGCCCCAGGACCCACGCAGCGAGTTGCCTGCGGCAAAAGGCCTGTCTTGGCTCCGGCTTCCGTGCACCTGATGAATTCCCGATGCGGCACGGCGGCGTGGCGCTGGAGGGGGTGGCGTCGCTTGCGTCGCAGAGGCGCTGCCGCTCAGATTGAAACCCGCAGGGCGAGGCAGGGCCGCCACAGGCCGCCATCAGTCCTTGTCACGCCGAGCATTACCGAACAGAACGCGGTGCGCCGCGGTGCCGCCATCCGCCACGCCCATAGAGGCCTCCACAGGTGGTGGCAAACAAGCGGGGCAGCCAGACAGCCAGCCCCGTGCGACGGCGTGCCACTGCTTCGCCGGGAATACGATCCCCTCGGCTCGGGCCCCGCGCTAATAGTCCGCGAGGTCCTGGTCCTCGTCCTCCTCCTCGTCCACACCCTCCTCCTCTTCCTCCTCCTCCTGGTCGTCGTCCTTGTCGCTGTCCAGCGTGTCCCGGATCCAGGCCTGGTAGTGCGCCGTCCTGGTGTACACGTCGGGGAAGCCCGGGCGCGCGCAGCCCGACCCGAACGAGGTGATGCCGGCCAGGAACCAGCGGCCGTCGTTACCCAGGCACTGCAGTGGGCCGCCGGAGTCGCCCTGCAGCAGCGAGTGGAGTGGGGTGAGTCTCTCTCGCACCCCAGCGGAACGCCCCAGGGGTGCGACAGAGACGCGGCTACGCGGCTACGTACCACGCAGGTGCCGGTGGAGCCGTCCAGGTGTCCGGCGCACAGGTGGCCCTGGCCGATGCGCACGCCGCCGCCGTAGCGCTTGGCGCACAGCGTGTTGTTGTGCAGCGGCACGGCGGCCTGCAGCAGCGTGGACGTCTCGTCCCCCGAGGCCGACTGCCGGCCCCAGCCCGTGGCCATGCACAGCGGCGCGCTCTCGCCGGGCGCGGGCGGCGCGGGCGGCGCGCTGGACGCGTCGTAGGGCGCGGGCGGCAGGCAGAGGGGCCGCACGCGCGCCTCGCCGGACACACGCACTCGCCGGGACAGCTTCAGCAACGCTGCGGGGACAGGCACGTCAGCGTGTCGCCCTGTCTCTCTCCCACTCGAGGGCGACCCCTTCGGGCGCGAGAGAGACAGGGCGACGAGGCTGCGCCAGGCACTGACCGATGTCGTTGTTGTACGAGTGGAACTTGGTGTGCACCACGATGCGCTCCACGGGCACGCGCACCTCGGTGTGCTCCTCCACCTCGCGGTCCCAGTCGCCCAGGACGGCCGTCCACAGGGCGGGGATGGGCAAGCTGAAGACGTCACTGGCAGAAGAAGAAGAAGCACGCATCACGCACTGGTTACCGAATTTCTTGCATTCCCAACGGTGGAAATCCGAATCGCGTTTCGTGTGGGTGGGAGAGAGGTAGAAGCGACCAAGCCCCCTTCAGCCTGCAGGCGTCCGCTCCGCGTGTCCTCCCCTTCCATCTTCCGGTTCAACCTGATTGCAAAATTCCTCGCCTTGTCGAGTGGGCTCGCTCCCGCCGTGGCGGTGGCGGCGTCGGCCTGCCCGAGGGCTGCCGGGGAGACGTGTGGACTTATTCTGCAGCCCCTCGCAGGGCGGAGGCATGGGCGGAGGGCGAGGCAGGGCGATATTGGACCGGAAAGAAGACCCCGTTGAGGAATCCACGAGGCTGGCGCCACGCCCGCCGCAACTACCCGCAGTGCTGCCATCCGTATTCCGTATCGCGTGTCGGGTAAACGAACAGGTGATCGTTTGTCACTACCGAGAGACGGCGCTGTCTGCGGAGCCCGGCACCGCCTACCCAGCAATGTAATGGATAACACCCTCAAAACGGGGTTGAAATCGACAGTTCTACGGAAATGTCACCCATGCTTCGAGGTTTAGGCCGCTTCAAGACGCGTGAGACGGCGAACTCCGGCGTTGAGACGCGTTTCGATTGTGTCCGGTGGGTGCGTGCACTTCGTATACTTCGTTTACTCACTTGTGGATGCAGTGCGCCGCCGTGACGACCCAGCGGTCGCGGACCAGCACGCCGCCGCACCAGTGGCCGATGAGCCCCAGTCGGGGGTGGAGCACCTGCAGGGACGCCTGCGGCCAGATACAACATTTCCATCATCGCGAACTTGTCGAGTAGGAGTCACTCTTGGAGTGGATGCCGGTTTACCTGCCAGGGCCAGGCCCCCTGCCGGCTCTCCTTGCCGTTGACGATGCGGCCCTGGGAGCCCTGCGACTGCGTCCACGCCGAGGGCGGCCACAGCGACCGCGGCCGGCGCCGCGACAGCAGACTCAGCCCGCACTCGGCGTCTGCGACAAGAAGGAGACGAAGCGCCGCGGCCGTCAGACAAGTCGCACAGCGCCCACGGCGCCCGCGGAGTCGAGGGTAGGCCGCCAGGCCAAGCGCCAGTGCGCCGGGCTGCCTACCCGGGCGACGTAAGGCGCTAGGAGCCCTCCTGCCGAAACGACACAGACAGCGCGGCACCAGCCCACGGGCCACGGCTCCAAAGCTCACCGTCGCGGCGCGCACCCTCGCGCGGATCAGTGACAAAGCTTTGGGAGGCAAGCTCGCCGTCAATAGAGCGGCGCGCCGGCTGTCTCGGGTTTGCATTCCTGCCAAGCGGTCCTCGCCGGCCCCCGCCGCGCCGTCGTCTGCGGGACGCGACGCCCGTCGCAGCAAGGGAATGCGGCCTGCGGGCCAGCCGGGACAAGCCGGGGCAGCCGGGGACAGCAGGACGCGGAAGCAATCGACGCGACGCCCGGCGCCGCGACGTCTCGGTCCGGGACGCCGATATACAACCGACGCGGACGTGCGGCGGGGCGGGGCGGGGCGGGGCGGAGGAGTGCAGAATAATGGCAGCATCGTGGTCGCGTTCGGAATCCGCACAATGTCCGTGCCCCGGAAGGCCCTGCGGCTGGAGGGGGGCGGTGGCCGGCCCTGCCCGGCCCTGCCCTGCCAGTGGAGGGGGTCACTTTCTCCGCTTTCTATCGCTCGGCGTCGCCGCGTCGCCGCGAAGAGGCCGGCCATGCCATGCCGCCACGCTATCGGACGCAACGCGCACGCCGCGGTTGCATCATGTGCCACAACACTTGACATAATGACGGCCGCCGAGCGCCTGGCCGCGCCAAGCCGCGCCGACGCACCGCGATGCGCGAAACGGCCGCCAGGGGGCGGGGCAGCGCCGAGGCTCGCTCCCGCGCGGACGCCAAGCTGGCCGTGGACAACGTGGACGTCGCCGATAAGAGGAACCCGAACCCGACCCTGGACCACTCTGGACGTGCGTCCGCTACAGCCACACACACACACACACACACACACACACACACACACACACACGCCGTTGTTTACCTGGGTCGTGGAGCCGCGCGGCGGCGCCGGCGTTGCTGCGGGGACGTTTCTCGGCGACAGGGGGCCTCGGCGAGCTGGCGGTGGACGGTCTCGGCGTGCTGGCGGTGCTGGCGTGGAGGCCGGCGGGCAGGCACAGGCACAGCAGCAGGCTCCGGACGAGCATGTCCGGGCGGAGCGGCCTCCGTGCTGCTGCACAGGGCTACACTGGGCGGGTGCGCGAGCCAGGGCGAGGACGCGGACGCGGGCGCAAACGCGCACCGACTGAGGAGGACCGTGCGTCCACTCCAGCCAGCCAGCTCGGGGAACACGGGGAACACGACGGGGACCAACAACAACAACAACAGCACGCCGGGCAGGCAAGGGCCGCGCCTGGGTCGGGACGCTGCGCGGGGCGTCGCGGGGCGTCGCGGGCTCGGCGGCGGGGTCGGGGCAGAGCGGAGTAGAGGAACTAAGCCAAGGCGGAGGCAAGGCGGAGCCCAGAGCCAAGGCAGAGCCCAGGCAGAGCCGAGGCGGAGGCAGGAAAACGAAAGTAAATGAAGGAGGTGGGGGCGGCAAAGGTGCCGTGTGGTGCTGTGGGGCTCGGCGGGCACGGCACGGCGCGGCCGCAGCCAGGCTAAGCCAGCCTCGGGCTTGTCTCACCGTGCCCGCCGTGCCCGCCGTGCCCGCCGTGCAGCGACGCTGGGGGAGGAGCGAGGAGGGGGACGACCGGCCGGCTGTGTCGTGCCGAGGGCAGCCGAGGGCCGAGGCTTGATTCACCGGCCAGCGTCCGGAACGTCCGGGGTCAGGGAACGGAGGAAAGGAAAATGCCGGTGTATGCAGCGCTGCTGCGGGGAATCGAACCCGCCACCCGCGCACTGGAGCTCAACATCAGACGTCAACTCACCTTTCTTTCTTGCTTTGCTGGGCTGACTTGGACGCACCCTCCTGGCCCATCCTGTCCGCTCGATGCGAGCCACATGGCCACATCCTCGCGCAGTACCGCGTTCTCCCATTTCCGGTCGGACTATCGGAAGCCCCGATTCGCGGCCCCAAAGTGAGCGTTCGTCTACTTCGCGTCCTGTCGGCCCTACCAGGCCCTTCGCGGTGAAAAATGGAAGCCAAGGTGCGGGTTAAGCGAGCCTCACGCACGCACGCACACACTCACACACACACACACACTCACACACGCAGGCAGACGCCCCTCGCGACCGCGACACGGCGAACTTGGAACTTTGGGACACGGGAAAACTTGCTAACACGACTCGCACTCTGCCTCTTCTGGGCACCAGACTGATTCCGAGAGTCGTTTTCGTCGCTCTGCCTCTGTCGTAAGGCGTCCCGGATGGGCGCGAGAGGGACGGAGCGACGGGATCTAGTCTTGGGATCAGTCTGCTGGGGGCACATGCCACACCGCGCGGCGCGCCGCCGCTGCGGCCGCACGACGTCCTGCTGGTTCAGCCCACCCCACCTCTGCCCGCTTCACTTTCGTTTTCGAGGGTGTCAAAGGTGGTCGTAAATCTGCCGGTCGGCCGGGCTAGAGCCCTGGGCCGCATCGGATCGCCCCGTCGCTCTCGCACCCCTCCAGGGCCTCCAGGACGGCTCATGGGTGCGACAGAGACAGAGCAACGGGCGCACTGTCCGGAAGCACCCTTGCGATCAATCGCAGCACCGACATGTGCCTAGCGCAAATAACATAGCGCGATAGCGCGGGGCACACGTCGGGTCACGTGGCTCGTCTAGGAACACCTAGTTACGCCGAGACGCACCAGGTGGCGCTCGAGGGCAGAGGGGGCAACAGACATCTAGTATCTAGCGAGCATCCTGGGGCATTGGCCCCATGGCCCCCTGACTGAACCAGCAGGCTGATACCGAGGGTCGTTGTCGTCGTTCTGAGTCACACACACTTAGGGGTGCGCACCATGCCCATGGCCAGCCGTCAAATTTGATGAAATGATGAGAATTTTATTGAAGCACAGGAGGGAAGTAAAGTACATGGTGCCCAAGTTGAGATGCCTCAGAGTTTATCTAACATAAGGAAATTTCTCCCATGAAGCGTACATAGAGATGCAATTACTTAATCTTCAAACAAGAACAAATAAATCAAGAATTTCTTTCTTTTTTTTTACATTTAGTTCATAAACAAGAAACAGAGGAAAAGAGAATTCCTCTCCTCTCAAAACATACAGTTCAAAAAATCAATCAACTAATTTGAGAGCAAATAAAAACTACATAAATTCAATCACAAAATGATCACATGATGACCTTCTTCCAACTCATTCAAGCAGAGTTTCAAAGATATTAATACAACAAATTGGAGGGTGCTGATAATAATGTTAACTTAAGCATAAACCTACAAGACTAAACTGTAAACATAAGAAATATCACATCAGCATTAAATTTCAGTCTGTTAAAGTCAACTATAAAAATACATTAGTCAATGATTTTCAATTTCATTTCATTGGTTATATATGCAGTTAATTGAGTCAGAAGAGCTTGTTGTGCTGCGGGTGTGTTGAGAAGTAAAGGCAAAAGTATCGCAACATCCTCAACCCTGAAATCTTGAATGATTCTCATACAGGAAGCAGCTAATTGAGTCTGCTGGATAGGTGTCATGTCTTCAAGAATTACTCTCGACACTGGTTTGAAATGTCCACTTGTTTTGAATGCAGCCATCACAGATCCTAGAGTGCCTCCTGTAACAATTTAAAAACAAAAAAATAACACACAAACATGTATTTTTGTTTATCTAAAACTAACTTCAAGAACACTTCCACAAATATATTTTTAAATTGAGTTTTTGAAACATACCGACTGCAAGCCCGAAAGGTCCCATCAGAATTCCTCCGACTGCTGTACATACACCAACAGCAACGCCACTTAGCATGGAATACTGGACAGCCACCTTTATACCTTGTTGATCAGCAAGCTGGCCCAAAAGGCTCATCACCTCATGAGTGTTGATGGGCATGATAGGACCTGAAAATGTTCACACCTGAAAAATTCACACGAGCATTAGTGAAACCGTGTTACCAAACTCATTGCTTGTGTACAGCTAAACCCAATCAAATAGGGTTGATGTTCAGGCATTTGATACTGTCTTGTCTAGATAGTTAAGTTAAGTTCTGAAAGTTTTGAAATGAGATGCTGTATGGGGAATACCCTTAGGGTAATCATGAGTGGCAAGTAAATCAAGGTTGTGTTCTATGAGTAAAAATGCAAAATAATTCATGGATGAGTTATAGGGGTGTACTTTATGCTTTAGAATCGCTGTTATTGCCCAAGAAAATATTCTTAACGAAAACAGCAAACAGGTATAGTGACACAGGTCACACAACCTCTTTGTATACTCACTCGGGTGTGTAATGCCCCAGACAACTAGATGAACTGAAGATACAATTGGTTCGAAGGAGAAGCTTCAAACGGATTCAAATGATGACATGTCGCGATCACCGAAATCTTGTTGAACTTTGGTCTTATTTGTCGATTGTAGGTTGGGGGTCCTTCCTCCCCACCTGCGAATAATACACGATAAATTTTTCTGCGGATAGCGAACCCCTTTTGTCTCCCCCTCCCCTTCCCCTTCCCCCTTCGTCATCAACTGTTTTCCACCCACAGAAAAGAGGGTAAAGAATAACTGCACTTATCTCGGAGATTAGTGTCAAATTTGTCGTGTTGGGACATCTCAGTGGTTCACAAATGTTCTCTTTATTCGTTTCAGGGTTCCTGTTTAATTAGAGTATCGGGTTTTACTTGTGACAGTCTAAAATGATTGTTGACACAAGATTGCGAGGTTATGTGAGTATCAGAGAATAGTCAACAAAGAAGTAAACCCTCCATTTCTTAACACTTTGGAATGGTTTCTTGACAGATAAAACTAAAATGCTGCGCCTCAACGTGAAGCTCTTGCTTTTCCTGGTGTTTGGTTTGGTGTTCGTCGCAACATGGTCCTTGTGGAATCGCTGTCTTGATGGTCTTCATGCGCCTGGCTGGGACAACAATTTCAAACATAATGGAGACGGACCACTTCAGGTTCGTTTGGGTTTTGAGCTGGCTCTCTCTCTCTCTCTCTCTCTCTCTCTCTGCCTCGTTGTCCTGTTAGTTGCTTCATGTATTGATTTAAATTATTTATTTGTTGCAGGATGTATTCTCAGGAAACTCCCCTGTTGCTGAACGGCAAACCAGTGAATTGCAGGGATATGAAGAGATTGACTGTCTTATTAATGGAGATGTAGCACTTAAATGCCGTAAAGAGGGAGATGAAGTGTATTTGCCATTTTCTTTTATTCATAAATACTTTGAAGTGAGTTTTCATTGATTTACAATTCCTACCTTTTGTCCTTAGTGAGTTGTGTGAGTTTCTTTACCATCTCTATACAATTTTATCACAGGTTTATGGTAAATTAGCCACTTATGATGGATATGAACGATTTGAGTGGTCTCATAGCTATTCTAAGGTCTTTTATCCCAAGGCAAAATATGAACCTTGGGGGGTCTTCATGTACTTTGAAAATTATAATGTAGAGGTTAGAGAACGTGTGAAGTGCTTAAGCGCAACTGAAGGTATGTGTTTTACTGCTGTTCTGTTGACATGGCTTCCTTAACTCACCTAATGCATTTTATGATTTCTCTACTCTGCAGGAGTTCCAGTTTCTACGCAATGGGAGAGTGGTGGTTATTATTATCCCACCCAAATAGCGCAATTTGGCCTCTCTCATTACAGCAAGAATCTGACAGAGCCAGAACCTCGCCGTAAAGTTCTTGAAGATGGAGATAGAGATCTAGCTCATTGGCAGGCCTCTGGATCATCGACCTTTACTCGTACACATGATCCTGAAGTAAACAGTGTTGTTATTCAGTTCCAAACATCAGGTAAGAAAGTTTCTGATTGAGTCTCCCTCAGAAGTAGCTAGGCACCTCTTTCTGGTAAAAAAAAAACTATGTGATGTGTGAGACACATGGGTGTGAAAAGAGTAAACTCTTTAAACTTTTTTCCTTTGGTGCTGACATTTTAAAACTATTTTCAGTTGGTGGATCTATTTCTCTCAAATTGGACCATGTATTAGACTTTGTGTTGATGATGGATATAAAATTCTTATCCATGAACAGCAGTGTGACTGTTGCTCTGCAAAACAGAGAAAGCAGGCAATTGTGGAGACTACACTATGTTTGTTCTCTTCAGCTAATTTACACACAGGTACTGTATTTATTGGAAGAATCACTCTATTATTGTTTATAAAGAAAAGGCCAACTTCTCGATCTCATTTCATTGAATGGGTGGATAGAAATTTGAATGAGATCCATGCAAAGCAAGGGATAAAACTTGCATGCTCTTTAGCTTGTTTTATCTTACTTTTTACTGACTTTCACATTTTGACAGATACCTTGGTTACAATAAATAGTTGTATTATTTTTGTCTATTTTCTAGGATCAAGATATATTTCATGGTATGGCCTGTGATGATAGTGCTCCATGGCATACTCTTATCAGAGACTTGGTGGTAGACTTGCAGAAAGGTCTTCTCATTCAAAACAGAGGGAAACGCAAATTGCCACGGTCTAAACTGAAGGTAGGCAAAGCACTATGTATCTATGTTCTCAATTTTCTTGTAAACTTACTGCAAAGTTGTCAAGTGACTCTTAATTATTACATAGGTGGTTGGAATAGCCTTGCGTGGGTGGGGTAAAGTGGATAATGTAAGCCTCTCCACTAGTGAACATCTTGCCCACTTTTATGATGCCGCCCAATGGTTTGTGAAGCATCAGGATCCAAATACAGGGGGCTGGGCTAATCCAGTTAAGCGACGTGTAGCAGCAGGAATGCAGGACCTAGAACCTGGCTGGTGAGATCTTTGAAAAGATATTTAAGTTTTTTTAACCAAATTTTTAAGTGTTTGCGTGAACTAATATTTTGTTTGCAGGTATTCTGCAATGGGGCAAGGACATGCAATATCAGTTCTTGCTCGAGCCTATCACCATTCGGGTGGTGATCCACAATACCTTCAGGCAGCAATCAATGGTTTGAGGCCTTTCAGAGTACCCAGTGATGAGGGAGGAGTTCTTGCTTCATTTCTCAGTAAGACACAATTTGCAAAATTGGATAAATAGTTTTGTCTTGTGACTGCTGTTTTTGTCATACACTTATTCTCTGTTTCAGAAAAGTTCCCATGGTATGAAGAGTACCCTACCAAGCCTGCATCCTTTGTACTAAACGGTTTCATTTACTCTTTACTTGGTCTCTATGACCTCAAGACTATAGCACCTCCAGCCCAGTCAAAAGAAGCCTCTGTTCTCTTTGAGCAAGGCATGGTCTCCCTAAAAAATCTCTTGCTCTTGTTTGACACTGGTGCTGGCACATCATATGATCTAAGACATTTTACACTGGGCACTGCCCCAAATTTGGCAAGGTGGGACTATCATGCAACTCATGTCAATCAGCTTCTTTTATTAGCTACTATAGACAAAGACCCTCTGATTGAGGTAACTGCCAGACGCTGGATTGGCTATATGAATGGGAAGCGGGCAGCTCACAATTAATAGTTCAGTGTGTTATACTTAGTTTATTGTTAGTTAATTCTTCACTCTGCAAGGTTCCGAAGTGGCACTGAATTTTGCTCTTGTTAAATTTATTTAATGTTATTCTTCAATTTCAAAATTTTAAGTTAGCTTAAGTTAGGTGTTGTGTTTTTCTTTGCTTTCTGGACATTGTCAAATTTTTACAATTTTTATCTATGCATAAAATTTTACTGTTAGTAGAGTTTTAACAGTATTACATCTTTCTCCCTATCAAAGTCAAAGTTTTTGTGTTCTGTTCTTCAGTATTTTGTTTCATGTTGCATTTGTGAGCATTATGACATTACATTCCAATCTAATGAGGCTAAGTTATTAATCAATGGAAGTAGAATTTAGAGCTATCCATTACAAAAGGATATCTTGTTAATGTTTTGTGTGTCAGTAGCTTGTTTCTGCACATCAGTCATCAGAACAAAATATAGTTTTGAGTCATGTACTAACAACTACCCATGAAGCAGCTTGTAGTGTTTGTTGGCACTATTGTTTGCTCTTCTTAATATTTTTATTCAAATTCTGAGTTACAGTTTTTGGCCTAGTAGTGATGGACTACTTTGCATGTTAAAGCATTTTTTTGAAACTTTTTTTCGTCTTCAGTGTGTACTTAATTCATTTTTAAAAAGTGATTTTTTAAAAAAAAAGATGCCTGCAATGCCTGTGATGGAAACATACACCTTTTCTTTATGGGGTATTTTCAAGTGTGATGAATGATTATTAATTGGAGGGAAATGTTATCTTGTTTGTTTCATGTAAGCCGATGGGCAGGTCCCATTTCTTTTTGTTAAGAACATTGAGATACTCCTTTCTAGGAACTAGAACTGATTCTCCTGTTACTTTTCTAGGGTTAAGGAAGGTTTTCAGTCTCTTATCATCATTATATGTATTTGCTTGAAATGTCACCATCCCTCCAATCAAAGTACTGTATACCTATACAGAATCTGCCAGAACTTAATCTGGACGGTTATGGTTTCTCTCTTCTTGTGTGTGAAAATATCTTAAATAGATGGCCACTAATGATGTTTTATTTGGATATTTGTTGTGTTCAATCTTAAAGGACTCTGTGATGGTGGCTTTTGTTTCTGCTGTATTCTATTTGCTGTTTTAGTGTTAGTATAAATACTTCTGTATTTTTGTATTCCTTGTAAATGTTTTACAGTGATTTGTTATGGTTCAGTTAGTCTTGTTTGCTGTTTTCTGAAAATGCCTTGGAAGTAACTTTTGTTAATCATAATAAGTTTTATTTTAATCAGCACTAATGTTGTTGGGTTTTGTTACTTGGTACTGTTTGAATTTGTAACAGCACTTAATCCAGCACAAAACTTTTTTATAAGATGTTGCTTTTGGAGAAGTAAACTTTCAACACACCAGTGTACAGTAGTGAGTAGAAGTGAGTAGGCTGGGTTGATCTGAAACTATTGCTCTATAGTACTTACTTCCTAGAATTTAACTTCAACTGTGTGACAGTAGTATTGCCTGTTTAGTCTAAAATTTTACTAATTACAGTACTCATGTAAGACTGGCGTTTAGAAAGGATTGGTGATTTTACCAATGTTAAAGCATTAGAATAACATTCATTCTTGCCAAACCAGAGGTTTGAAAAGCTTTCCCTGTGATAGTGATTTAGTTGTTTAGTTGTGGAGTGACAATAAAGGGCTTCAGTGTAGGAGTGGACCATGTATGAGTCTATTGCTCATGGTGCAGCAATGCAGCTTTATTAGGTACTTGGTACTATGTGAAATGCTGTGCATTTAGTGACACTGTTGGTGTTGGTGATCATTCTGTCTCTTTTTTTTCCTGTCTTTTTCTCTTGTTTTGTTGTAGAGCACAGACTGATGCTGTTGCACAACTAAGTCTTTCACACAAACTAGAATCAGTAAAGTCCATTTAATGTGCACTGTTTGTCATGCATTTTACTTTTAGAGGGCATTTTAATGACTTAATCCTCACCATCTTTCTGTCATTGGAGTGTATTTTTATCTTATTTTTCTTTCAAACTACCATTAATATTGATCTCCGTATCTGTGTGCCATAACATGCTGTACACACCTCTCATCATACGTATCATTTTGTGTGTACCGCCAAGACGTATTTCAATGTGTTTGTCATCACATTCTGTGTGCAAAGCAGTCTTACATTTTTAAGTTCAAATTGAAACAAATTAGAAATAATGAATGTGTTTTATGGGAACTTTTAAAAAAGATCAGAATTGGTAACATGTAATCAATAAATTGTCATGCTTAACCAGATCCTTTGTGTGTTTATTATCCTTGCTCACAACACAACCATAGAAAGATAAAACGGCTGCAGGAGGCCCTCAACGCCGTTGATGGACGAAAGATAAAAAGAAACAGTGATGTTGCTGCCAGTGCGGTGGCACCTCCCACTCACTCAGAAATAAAATCTAAGGAGAGTGAGAAAAACAATATGAAAATAAAATGAGGTTCATGCAGTTTGATTAGTTAGTTTAATGCAATATTAGCACCAAAAAGAAAAAAGGGGAAAAAAGGTGTTTTTGACCACGCCGAACTCTCTTGAGAGAGGGTGGCATTCGAGGCCCATCATAATTGAATGCAAAACGGAATCAGGAATGTAAATTTGAAAAGGGGTTCCAGTTTCCAAGAGGAAGAAAACCAATAACTCAATGACACATTTACTTCTTTTTTTTTCGAATACAAATTTATCATCCTATGGGAACATCTTTTGAGAGGCGCTCGCGTTAATGCATGATGTATTTCCCCTGCTTTGACAGGTGGAAGAATGACAACGCTTCACGGCTTGACTTTCCCTGACAACCGCCCGCCCCAGCGATGCCTCTTGAGCTGCGGCCCCGCCCCGCCCCACCACGCCCCACCACGCCCCACCCCACCTCGCCCGACCCCGCCCCGCATCCGGAGTCACATGACAGCGCAGATACGATATCATAACAGACTTGCAGGCAAGTGAGCAGCAAAATACTGAGGCATGGCATGGTGGCGGAGGGTGTTACAGGAAAGATAGGGGCCGGGGGAAAGAGGAGGGCACAATGGCAGAGGGGGGGTGCAGCCCGCAGCTACATCTTGTCGTAAGCGATCTGGTGCCTCGGCCAGCCCGCCAGCCCGCCAGCGCCGCCAGGCCAGCGCCACTCTTGGCTCGCCCCACCTTGCCCTACCCCATCCTGCCTTGCCCTGCCTTGCCCCGCCCCGCGCCGGTGAGCTTCTTCCCCCACCCCCACCCCTCTTCCCCGCGGGGTCGTATTGAGCGCCATCCGCCCCACGTGCTCAGAGCCTGTGCTGCCTGTGCTGCCCGCCCCACGGACCCCGCCCCACGGACCCCGCCCCACGGACCCCGCCCCGCCCAGGGCAGCCCGCACCCAGCCTCCGCCCCCACAGGACAGGGCCGCTCCCCTCGCCCCCGGCCCGCCCCCGCCGCGGCCCCCACCCTGCAGGGCCTTGCGTGCTGCGCCGTGCTCCGCTGTGCTCCGCGCCGTGCTCCAGTCCGCTGCGCGAGGACTGCGGGGACGAGGACCAGGGAGCGGAGCGAGCGGAGCGGCGTGCCGAGCCGAGCAGAGCCGAGCCGCCCACACCGCCCCACGCCCTCAAGCGCCCAGCGCAGTGCCCCACTTTATATGGCACCACCCCCCGCCCGCCCCGCCCCGCCCGGCCCTTGCCACCACACACGGCGTGGCACAGCCAATGGCACAGCCAATGGCACAGGCAAGCTAGGGCAGGGCGTTGGGCAGATGAGACAGAGGTGAAAAGAGCTGTGCTCTATGCAACGCCCGACATCGCCACGCCCCGCCACGCCCCGCCACGCCCCGCCACGCCACGCCACGCCCCGCGCCTCACCTCCTAAGTCTTCGCCCCGGAGGAACGCCTGACCGCGTGACGCTGCGCCTTGCCGCGACTGGGCTGGGTCCAGGCCGGGCGGCTAAGAAGACATTTTCCGCCGAAACGCTTTCACTAGAAACGCCGTGGCCGTCGGTGGCACCCCCCGGACCCGGCGGCCCAGCGCTTCGCACACCCTACCCGGTGACGTCACTGACGTGATTAGATTCAAACTGCAGTCGGCAGAGTCGGTTCAGGACAGAACAGCCGGAGACTACAATAGCCGGGCAACCGAGAGGCCGAGAGAGCGAACGGATGCTTTGCCGCTGCCGAAGTGGCAGCGATGAATTTCCGATTCCCTGCAGTGCCTTGCAGTGCCTTGTCTACCCGCCGGGCTTACGGACGACCCCTCGCTGGCCGCTGCGCCGCGCTGCGCTGAGGCCAAGTTGAAGTAACTATTTGAAACAGCCGGTGTTGTTTTGTTGGCGGTATCGAACCGAAAGGCGCCGAGAGCAGAAAGCGGCCGACAGGCGAAAGGGTGGAAGGCGCGCTGGGATGTCGAGAGTGCATCTTGATGCTGCACCATGGTCATGGTGTCGATGGGGCTCCTGATGCCGCGCCCATCCATGCCCCCGCACTCGGTTACAAACTTGTCGACTTCGAGCTGGCGGGCCACAGTGACGGCCTGGCCGTGGCGTGGTGCCGTGGCGTGGCGTGGCCCGCGACCTACAAAACCAAAACCGTTCGGTTCTGCCTCAGCCTCCTCCCCTACCTCCGCGCCGCGCCGCCACGCGACCTACAACTTCCGCGCGACCTCATTCTGGTCTGGATCCTTGCTGCGAGGGCGTGGCGGGGCGGGGCGGGGCGTGGGGAGGGGGGGGGGTGCAGCGCTGAGGTGTGGGGAGGGGTGCTACCCTACCGTGCCCTGGCCGTGCCCTGGCCGTGCCCTGGCCGTGCCCCGGCAGACCGGTCCGCGCGCCGCTTAGACTCGTCCTGTGACCGACAAGATCTCGTGCGAATCAATGCAGCGGCAGCCACGCCGGCCCCGCCAGCATCACCAGCACCACCAGCATCACTAGCATCACCAGCACCACCAGCATCACCAGCATCACCAGCACCACCAGCAGCACCACCAGCATCACCAGCATCACCAGCATCACTAGCACCACCAGCATCACCAGCATCACCGTCCAAAGCAATGCCAAAGGCCGCCGCCCTGCCGGCCCAGCTGCCCCGACGCCCCCGAACAATAAAGGACCTCTCGCATCGGACCGCAAGCCCTTGCGATGGGCCTCGCCTCGCCTCACCCACCCCGCTCCGCCCCGCCCCGGCCGCTCCACCTCAGAAGGCCCTAGCGCCTGTCAAGCAGCACCTAGGCAACCCGCGCGGCAGCAGTGTCCTGCGGCACTGCCTACCCTGGACTTGGCGGGCGCTTCGGGCGATCGTCACTCGCTACAGGCACGCTACAGGCGCGCTGGGGGTACACTACAGGCACGCCAGAGGCACGCTTGGGGCACACTAGAAGAACGCCAGAGGCGCGCTAGAGGTGCGATGGTGTGGCCCCGGAGCACGGGACACGCGCACTACTCGTCGGCGAGGACACTGAGATCAACATCCACGTGTTGTGTCGTGCGGCGCACGCGGCCGCACGCGTGCCGCTGCAGCCGCTTCGAGCCCTTCTTTGGGTGAAGCTGGGCCGGTTGAGCCGAGCCGGCTGCCGCGATATTCCTGCAGTGTTCTTGCAGTGGCGACGCGGGCTACGCTGCCCTGCAGTGCCAGTGGCGGTGCTGGCCTGTGCTGGCCGCCGCGGTGCCCCGACGCCGATTGCAATCGAAGGTCCTGGACTGCAGGCTCGCTGTGCTTCGCTGTGCTTCGCTGTGCTTCGCTGTGCTTCGCTGTGCTTCGCCCCTCCCCTTCTCAGTGGCGGATCCAGAGCCGGCCTGAGGGAGGGGCGGTGAAGCACGTTTTGCCTCCTACACCCAAAAAAATGACTACTTCTTGGATCAAGAAAAATTTGACTTTTCTTGGTTTTTGCAAGAAAATTCTTCTTGATCCATTTTTTTTTCTTGAAAGAAGAAAATTTTTTTTGGGTCAAGATTATTTTTTTTACAAAAACTAAGAAAATCAAAAATCAAGATACCATTTTTCTGGGTGTAACAGAGGCAAAGTATGGCTTTTTTCCTACCTTTCCTGCGGCCACCTAGAGAGCAAGGGGAGTCGATTGTGTGTTTGGCTTCACTGATCCGCGTCCACGCCTGACCCTTCTGCCGGACCGCGGCCCACCTGTTTTGGGCGCGGCCAGGCGCGGCCCCTTGACTCCGGTGTCGTGTGGGCTGCGGGGCCGTTTGGGGCTGCCGACGCATCAGGCTTTTCGCTTAATCCAGTCTCGGTGTAGCCGGGCTGGCGCAGGGCGGAGCAGGGCTGACTGCCTCTTCTCCCCTCCCCCTTCAAACCGCACAGAGTGGTTTAGCCCCCTTTAATGAGTGGCCGTGTCAGTGTTTGACGTGTGGGCCCCTCCCCGCCCCGCCCGGCCCTGCCCCACACTGTGGGGTTTGAGCACTTTGCCTCAATGCTGCTGCGCCGTGCTGCGCTGCTACCCCCATCCGGCACCGTTGAGACCCTGACCCACAGAGCGGCCCCCACCCTGCCACCGCGTCCGCCCGCCACCGTGCTACGCCGCGCCGCGCCACGCCCTGACAGACCAGACCCTGGACCATCGCGGCCGCCGACGTGGCCGACGTGGACGTGACCTGTCACCTCCGATGACTTTTCAACTCGCTCACGGTGTAGTGCCAGCATTGCCTGGGGCTTCCCTGGGCGACTTCGGGCGCGCATCAGGATGCCGGCCTGCTTGCCCAAGGCCAGGACGCTGCGGCACCGGGGTTCACGTTGCTTCTTCTGAAACGACCCGCCCGCACCCGCCCCTGTTCCACACGCGTCCCTGGAAGGGCGAGCCGAGGCCGGCGCCGTCGGCGGTGCCCTGCGCCGCGAGCCGCAAGGGGCGCGAGGACAGGACCCCGAGCACACTCGAGCCGTCTAGTCCTCTCCCCTCGAGTGCATCGGGCGGCAGGGCTCTCGGCGGCGCGGCGCTGCAAAGCGGTTTAGCTCAGCAGCCGCGGAGTGTGTGCCGCGACAAGAAGGACGCCGTCGAGGAGGACGCCGTCGAGGAGGACGCCGTCGAGGGCATCGAGCAGGTCATCAAGGAGGGCAGCGGCGCGGCAAAGGCCACCTTGTCAGATTTACGGCAGCCGCGGGGGCGGGGCGGGGTGGGGCGGGGTGCAGCGTAGTGGGGCAGGGCCAGCTTTGCCCCTTCTGCGCTGTGGCGTGGCGGGGCGTGGCGGGGCGTGGCGGGGCGTGGCGGGGCGTGGCGGGGCGCTGCCTGCCTCGCGCCGCACCGAGCAAGCCGAGGTGGACTCGCCCGCCCAGCCCGCCAGCCAGCCTGCCCGACTCAACCCAGCAGCCATCCCATCCAGGCCATCCCGGCCATCCAGGCCACCCGGGCCACCCGGGCCATCCGGGCCGCAGCAGCTGCGGAGCACTGCGGAGCCGCAGCCGGCACGGCGGCACGGCACGGCGGCTGCAGCTGCGAGATGGAGCGCAGCCGCCGACGGCCGGGACGCCGCGGACGAGGAGGACGAGGACGCCGAGGACGAGGACGCCGATGGCGACGCCGCCGCGCTCCATAGCGGCACCCGCCAGATTTTCGCCGCCTGCAAAAGTCTTGACACGAACAGGAAGTTGTTGTCGGTGGTGTTGTTTCCGGATGGCGGCTCGGCGAGGAGGTCATGTGGACCGCCAGGACCAGCGGCATTCACGGCCGGGGAAGGTGAAGGAGACGGCGCCGCCTCGATGTAGGCCACGTGGGTCATGTGGGTCATCTGGAGATTGCTGCTTTACGCTTCACGGTGTGTACTTTTCAGCGTGGCGCGCCACGGCGCCGCGCCCGGCCGCGCCCGCATGCTGCTGCCAGCTGGGACGCGCGCGCGGACGCGCAGGTGGCGCGCCGACTGTTCCTTTTACTGTTGTCGTTATTAAAATTATTCTTTCCCCCAAAATGCCTTTTCTCATTACGGCCATTCTGACGGTTGAATCAACACGAGTTTGGTCGCGCGCTGTTTGGCAACATGCACCTGATTGCTAAGTGGGTCGAGCGGGCTGGCTACGGCCCGGCGGCCCTGGCGGCCCCGGCCGGGGACAAAGGGGTGGCTGTGGACTGTGATACAGCCCCGACGCTGCGGAAGCCAAAAAGGGGTGGGGGAGGGGGAGGGAGTCCAGGGCGCGGCGGAGAGGGAGGGGGTAAATAGTCTCTCGGCTGGATTCGGAACGCTGGGGCGGCTGGGAGGTCAATCGCTCTCAAGCTCAGATCAAGACGATGAGGGAATTCACACTGTAAAATGGACCAGTACAAATTAGGACGTGACCTGCTCACACTTTTCTTTTATGTATGCTGTCGTAATTTTTTTCCCGCCAAGTTTGTGCTGACGCAGAATCGCACAAAAATTCGCACGAAATATCGTACAAATTTGTGATGAAAGTACGCGTAAAATTGAGTGAAGCCACGTGCGAAATTTGTACTTAGGCATTGAGTTTGTGCGGCTGCTCTGGCGCTATCCTTGCAGTGTGAGCGTCACCTGGTGGTGTTGATCGTGGCGTTCTGTGCTGCGTTGAAACATCAAAACAGGAAGAAAAGAAAGAGACACAGTCGTTAACGAGCAAGAAATAGTTCCATATATTTCCTCATATACCTTCTATAGCTTTCTCTCCAAAACCAGTTTTTACACAACAGAGGCTAGGAATTCACAATAATCATCGTAGTAATAATAATCATAATAATCATAATAATCATAATAATGTTTGGCATCGCAACGTTACGACAACGCTTTCTTTGAGTAATAATAAAACAAGGGAGACACCCGAGAGCTATTTGGTATTTTTGGTTCATTTCATCTGAACCCTTTTACAGTTTTTTTTTCTTCAGCTTTTTAGCACGAACACGAGCAGGGGGCCGAGTTAGGCCGGGTGCGGCAGCGCGCACGCATGCGCAGTGGTTCCCGGGCACTCCGCCCCGCCGTCCCGGCTGGGTCCCGGCGTGGTCCCGGGTCCCGAGTCCCGGGTCCCGGCCACTGGGCTGCAGAGGCTGCAGCGCGCCAGCACCCCGCCAGCCCGGCCCCGTGGCAGTGGTGAATAGCTTATTATCAAATCAGGAGACTGCATTCCACAGCTTCACAACCTTGGGGCGGCAACACGACGCCACAAACAATAATAAAAACAACAAGAGTACGGTCAAGACTGAGGCTGGGCGGGAAGGGGTCTCCATCGGCACAGCCAGGGCACCGCCAGGGCACCGCCCTACGAGGCGTTCGTTGTCTGGCCTACTCACGGCTCTCTGGGGCCGCGGCCCGAACGGGGCGCCCACCCCGCGCCCACCCACGCGCCCCTGGAGCCACCATCCGGCAGCTGAGCCCCCTCCCCTCCCCTCCCCCTCCCCCGCCCTACAGGGGACTCGCTGCCGTTCCCGACCGCCTCCTCCGTCCTTGCACCCGCCTTTCTTTTTTTGTCCCTTTTTTTTCGAAAACGAAAATGAACCGTAGAAATTAAAGCGTCCATTTGCCGATTTGGGTTTTGTTTTGTCGTTTGTGTTTACAGAGGCCCAGCCTGCGATATGCAACGACAACGGGAACACAGCCACCACTCAATTTGTGCAATTGTGACATTTAGGCAGTCCATTTGCTAATTATTCGGTTACAATTATTACACGGTCTTACAAAATAAAAATGTGTGAGCAGCTTGGCCTTCGAGGCCGTGGGCCACGCGGGACCTCCTTTCCTCTCTCTCTCTCTCTCTCTCTCTCTCTCTCTCTCTCTCTCTCTCTCTCTCTCTCTCTCTCTCACTCTCTCTCACTCAGTCACTCACTCCGTCGCGCACTCACGCATTCTCTCTCTCACTCTCGCTGACTGCGGTTCTGTGGCTGCAGTCTGTCTGTCTGTAGTCGGAGCACATTCGGCATGAGTAAGCGAGCGTCATCTACAGTCTCGCTAGTTAACAATGCTACAGTCTGAATTCGTACTTCACAAAAACATCAACAAATCAAGACCAAAACAAAAATCCGTCGGCGGTTCGTTTGTCTTTCCACATTTCGTTTACATAATATAATTTTTAAAGCTTTTTAACCGTACATTAATTACTTAATAATATCAACAAACAGGGTGACAGCGTTCTCTGCCGTAAAGAACACACGGGTAACTTCAGGGAACAGTCCACCTGTTCCCTTCCCAGAGTTTAAACAAGTCACAATGATGAGACGTGAAACAAGACTTTTGGTAAGACAGCAAGATTTCGGCAAGATAAGAACGCCGGAACGCAGTCCGGCCACTCCCCACCCCTCTCGCACGCACACTCTCACACACGCACACACACGCACTCACCCACACCCGCCCACACAGGCACACACGCACACACACATGCACGCCCCGCCACGCCCCGCCCCGCCACGCCTCGCAGCCATTCGGCACTTCGTGACTCCGTGTCGAGTATTGCTCTTCGTCAGTAAAACTTGAGAAAAAAGATCTTTGGAGCGACTGCGTGAGCAAAGGGATCCCCTCCCGGCCAGGAACGGACGGTCCGAATGGATATCAAGCCGATTAGACCAGCCATTCCTTGCTGGGCATTGGTTCTGAGAAACGCGCCCGTTTTTTCCAAAAGTCCCTCCTGCCTCTCCCCCTATCTTATATCATAACCCTAATAAAAAAGAACAAAACAACAACAACAAAAATCAACATAAAAGATTGATTTTTTTATTTTCCTCACACTAAATGTTGGGACCTTTTTTTCCAGCTAGTAACGTTATCTGCGTACCAAAGTAAAGCTAATTTTCTCGTTCCCAATCAAGAACGGTTTGTGAAAAATTGATCGTTCTAAGGGTCACTCTGTTCTTCCTAAGGGAAACAAACTTGTGCTGGGCGTCGAGGCTGCCTGGCGCGGCCGCACAGGGCACTGTAGGCCACCGACACGCTTTTCGTACAGGATTTTGATATTAATTTCAACAGCATTCCCACTATTATATGAATTTACATACACAGACTGTCAGCTCTATCTTGACATTCTCGTAACCTAAAAAATAAAACGCGACTCCTCTTATTTTATTATTTTCCTTTTTTTGTCTTGATGATGGTAGTCTTGCGAAAAAACCATTCTGAAATAACAACCGTCCGTGGTATTTCTCCAAACCCGAGCGGGGCAGCCAAAGTCGCCAGCCCTATCTCTATCTCACTTGGCTTGCTGCGCCAGTCGCGTCGTCCAACAATCCCTCCAACAATTCCTAATTAACATGTAAACATCACAGCACTTAACATGCAACCTTCTCACAATCATGAAAAAGTTTCGACGACGTGCGTTGCGTTTCCGGCCTCGGCACAACTTAGCTGTGTCTGCTTCCGGTCGCTGCCGGTCACTTCCGGTCACTGCCGGTCGGAAGCTACGACACGCGTGGCGCGCTCACTGCCCCACCCCGCTTCCCTCCCGCTGCTGCTACCGCTGCTGCTGCTGCTGGTTGCAAACCATATGAGGCGACACACAAAGTGATGAAGAATGACGACGAAAGTGGTGAACACAATGAACAACAACAACAACAACGAACAACAACACTCACTTGACGAGCTCCAACACTCACAGAGTAAGTTTTAGTAAAGTATTAGTAAATAGTTTAAAGTCTGTCCTCGTCCTCCTCCTCCTCGGGCGGGTCGGGCAGCCCGGGCTCCACGTCCTCCTTGTAGCCCGGGTGCTCCGAGATGGCGTAGTAGTTGCCGTTGTAGATGACCCCCAGCTCCTGCAGCACGTCGCCCCGGATCGTCGCCTTGATGGTCCAGTTGTAGCAGTCGTCGCTCTCGCTCTCGCGGTCCAGCCGCTCCACGTCCAGGATCTTGGAGTTGAGCCGCTCCAGGATGATGCCGATGTCCTTGATGGAGAGGTGGCGCTTCTGGTCCACCGACAGCTGGTCGATGAGCAGGAGGAACTTCTCGCTCGTCACGGCCTCCTCCTCCAGCACCGTGTTGTCCGTCTCCGACTCGGACGAGTCGCCGCCGTGCTCGGCCTGCATGGCGCCGCCGCGGCCCTCGATGTCCAGGAAGCGCACGTGCTGGCCGCCGCGGAGCGTGCCTGCGTGCGAGAGAGAGGAGCGCGTTACTCGTCACACTCGTAGGGCACGCCCCATGAGTGCGAGGGAGACAGCGGCGAAAACGTCTCTCGGAATCAGTCCGGAGAGCACGCCGCCAACGCCGTGACGCGCACGAGTGGCGCTGCCGCTGTTTGCGTGGCCCGACGGCCCCACCGCGATGCGTCTCGAAATCCGAGTCGACGTGAGCATGCCCCGCAAAGCGCCGCAAAGCCCCGCAAAAGCACGGGGAGGCATCTTCACGTCGACCCGCATTTAGAGTTGCTAGTGGAGGTACCTAAACGTCTCCATACAGTGGAGGCGCTCCCCGCTTTGAATGACCTCGCTTGTCCACCCTGCCCCTTTGCGGACCGCTGGGGTTATTGCTGCCTGTCTAGTCCCTGTCCCAGCCTCTGGCTCCGACGTGCTACGCGTGTTACTCACCAGTGCGTCCCCCCGCCATGGAGGAGGTGGGCTGCGGGGAGGTCTGCGAGCCGACGTCCTGGATGGGCGACGTGGCCACGCTCTTGTGCACGGCGATGAAGCGGCCCTCCTCGTGCAGCGCGCAGCAGTGGAAGTCGCACTCGGCGGCCAGGGCCAGGGCGGCGGCCCGCTGCGCGCACGCCGTGTCCAGCGAGGAGCCCGCCCCCGGCGGCCCCGCCTGCCGGGACAGGCGCAGGGGCGGCGGGTGCTGCAGGTGGTGCCGGCTGGTCTGCGTGGGGCCCGGGGACTGCAGCGGCACCTGGCCGCCCAGCCCGGCCACCTCGTCGTCGTGGTTGATGACGGTGATGTGGGGGCCGGGGCCGTACCGCGCCGAGCTGGGCGGCGTGTAGATGTCGTTGAGCACGGCCTGCTGCTTCTCCAGGGACGTCTGGATCACGAGCGCCGGCGGCTTGGACTTGCCCGGACCAGCGGGCCCGCCGCCGCCGCCGCCAACCGTCCCCGCCATCGAGCCCGAGGCCGCCGTCGTCGCTCCCTGCTGGAGGCCCTGGAGGCCTGGCGGGGCGGGGGACACGCGGCCAGCGGGGCCGCCTCCAGGTCCGCCCCCGCCGGCCCGCCAGGCCCGCCGCCAGGTCCGGCCGGGCCTCCGCCGGGCCCGCCAAGGAGGCCCTGCTGCCCGGCCTGCCCGGCCTTGGCGTGGTCCCAGTGCAGGACGACAGTAACTCGGCCCTTGTTGTCCATGATCTTCCAAGACGGCACCTCATTCTGCAACTCCAGGGCGTTGATGGTCTCACATACGATCCGAGGGATGGCGGTGATCGCTGCAACACACGCCACACCCTCACAGCTCGCGCCTCGCCTCGCCTCGCCCCGCGCCAAGCACGCACCGCCCCGCACGGCCACACACGGCCACGGCCCGCTCTGCCTCGGTCACGAGTGCATGCGAGCTCACGGCGCCGAGAGTCAAAAAATGTGAATAAGAAGGAAAAAATGTGCCGGATAAAAAAGTGAATCGCTTTTCTCGTGCAAGATGTGCGAGAGTTTGCTAGTAATGAAATCCATTAGAAAAGAAACGATTGGAGTGGTTTGCCCAGATCCACTGTTAAAAAATGTTCCGCTGTGGAACGTATGTTGTTTAGCATTTTTTTTTAAATGATGAAACCACGAATTTTAGAGCTATTTTGTTTTAATGAGTGCCTGAAGAAAATGGAGTGCCGCGTGCCTCCACGTACCGTTCTCAAAGTCGGCAGCCTCGTCGTAGTCTTCGCCGTCCCCTGGAACACAAGCCGACGGTACTCTCTGGACTGGCACACTGGCGAACGCCTTTAACTCCTCGACACATTTTTCAACAGTGTACGGGCTGGTGGCAGGCCTCGCGTGTTTCTCAATGCCCACACGACAAAAAAAAAAAAAAAAAAAAAACAGTGCACCAGCATTACCGTGGCATCTCGAAACCCCGGACGCACAAGGTAGTCCTTATCCCGAGGAGACTTCTGTTTTTCTTCTCAGGTCATCATTTTATTTAAATAGCACAGGTAATGAAAGACTTTCCGAAAAACACAGCAATGAAAAACGGAACTAAGATGCCCTGCTGTGGCCAAAATCGCCAACTGGTTCCCTCTTTTTTTTCCTACTCGCAGCACTGGTTGATCTCCACTTGCAGCCCCTCAAACCCAACCCACAGTGGGCCAGAAGACCGGTGGAGGCGGCCAAAACTCTAGACGTGTTTTGAGCTCCAGAGCCGCTAAATGGAACTCAAACCGGACGTGTGACCCCACTAATAGATTGCTCTCCGAACGAGGAATCCATTGGTGTTGGTGGGGTCACACGTTCAGTTCGAGTCCCGTCTCGCGTCTAGAGTGTTGGCCGCCGCCACCGGCCTTCTGGCCCACTGGCACCCCCACGCCACTCACCCGCGCGGATGAAGTCGACCCCTGGAGGGCGCCAGCGCTCTCCGGGCCGCAGCAGCAGCAGCACCGAATTGTTGGGGAGTGTTCTGAAGTACTCGCCGTCTTCGACCTGGGTGCCGTCGCTCTCGAGCACCAGGCGAGCGGCCTCGTTGGCGGGGACGCCGAGCTTCTCCTTGCCTGCAACAGGCAACCGCCATCGGCGTCTCGGTCACAGAGCACTCGAACATCTTCGGGGTCATGTTGCCGCGCCAACGTTGCTTTGCGAATGTCCTCTCCGAGGTTGGTGGACCCCGCCGAAGCCGGTCCGGTCGCGTGGATGAACGCCTGACGACCCCTGGGTAGGCCACGCGGACACACGCCTGCAGTGCGTGTGGCCTGCCCCGGACTCGGCGGGCGCTCCCTCCCTGGACCCTTCCGCTCCACTGGGCCGCCACGCCACGCCACGCCACGCCGTGTGGGCCGAGTGCGCCTGGTATTGACGGAGTCCCACGTCGTAGTTCGGAACTCGCGCCACTGGACTGTTCCGAGAGTCGCTCCGACCACGGCACGGCACGCCCTACCAGCCCGAGAGAGCGACAGCGCGACGAGAAGGACGCGCGGAAGCAGCCAAGCCGCCCCCAGCCAGCAGCCCTCCCCGGGCCCGGGGTGCTGCGCAGGGATGCTCGCATTAAACCAGACGGCACATGACAGAGGCAGCGGCCTTCGCCATCGGCGTGCCGTGGCGCGGCGTGGCGCGGCGTGGCGTGCATTCCGATAGCGCTAGGTGAATCGGGTTGGCCGGGGCCTCGGCCGGGGCAAGGGGCGGCAAGGGGCCTGGGGTCTCGGAGGGCCGAGGGCCGAGGCCCGGAACTGACGGCTCCCGATGCGATACCGCTTGACATCCGCCCCGGTGCCGCCCCGGTGCCGCCTCGGCCGTGCTACCTCGAGTGGAAGAGGAGGGAGGAGTTGGCCGAGGTTCGCTTGCAGGCAACGGCCAAGCGGCCGACGTTGTCTATCGGATGGTGGCGTGCGCCTGGCATGGGGTATAACGCAGGGCTGCGACACACACACACACACACACACACAAGCGCGGTGCAGGCTCCTTCCAGGGCTCCTTGACAGGGACGTTCAGCGCGCGTGCACCCCCCCCCCCCTTTTCCTCCTTTGCAGCGGCGGGCGCCTTGATTCGGCAATGGCCCTCAGCCGCAGCGTCCGAGCCGTCCGCGCCGTCCGCAGTGCGTTGATGCAGCAGCCTGATTCCGACAGTCGTTTTCGTCGCTCTGTCTCTCTCTCGTTCTCATGGGGTGTCTCCTATAGGTGCGAGAGTGGCAGAGCGACGAAAATCGGAATCTGTCCACAGCTTCGTAGCCACGCCGCGCAACGCTTGCCGCGCCGCCGCCACGCTCCGCTCTGCCTCCGAGCAGGCCGTACCCATCTAGGCCGTGTCCTCAACGCCGTACCCCTCTACGCTACGCCATGCCGCCCTGCCCCGCCACGCCCCGCCACGCCCCGCCCCGCCCCGCCCGCACGCCCCGCCACGCCCCGCTACGCCGGCCCAGCAGCCCGTCAGTGGAGGCTGCCAGGCTCTGCCAGGCTCTGCCAGGCTGCCCTTGTGGAGGGGGCGCGAGGCGAGGCGAGGCGAGGCGAGGGGTTCATCGATCGGTTGGACCGTTTGTAGTGCTGCCGGAGCCGCCCGGACGCCTTGCCCGCGGCCCGGCCCGGCCCGGCCTCCTCGGCCCTACACCGCCACGGCCCACGGCCCGCCCCCTGCGCGGACTCTGGTCGGTCTGGGACCCAGGCCCAGGGCTGGTAAGGCCGCTGCAGCGCTGCAGACAAGGCTTCAACTCTCCGTTTCTTCTGGTCGTCAACGCGGCGGCGCGGCGGCGGTCAAATGCCGCCGGAGGGGGACGGTTCCTCGCACGAGCCTCAGCCTCCAGACGAACCTCGGACTGCGCGGTGCCCCCCGCATCATCAGCGGGATGGTTTTCATGCAGGCCGCTTATTGTTTTTGTTTTGCGCACATCGAGAAATCGGGTTAAATTTGTTCCGACCCGCCTACACGTCGCCAACCAGAAAAGACTTGAGGTGCCGATGCAGACGCAAATACGAGGCGTCCATTCTGAAAACCCTTTCCCACTTTTCCCTTCGCGAAATTGCTCACCTCGTGCATTGGGCCAGTGCCGGTCTTTGTGAAGGCTATGTTCTGAACTAAGCGCGGATCCAGAGGGGGGCAAAAGGACAATTGCCCTTCCCTTGACAGATAGCCGCCTGAAAGGTAGGCAAAAGCAACACTTTACCCCTCACGGTAAAAACGGTTCCTGGTTTTCCCAGGAACCCCCTGGAAATCGCCTATGTCTTCGCCATAGGGCTCCTGGGAAAACCAGGTACCGTGTTTACCGTGCTGTATGTAGGCAAAAAGTGCTACTTTGACCCCCCCCCTCAGGACGCCGCTGGATCCGCCACTGGTTCTGAAGGGTGACGAGGACAGTTTGATTTGGCTCGGAATGCGCCCAATCTAATAGTCGCGCTATTCCGAGGCGTTGTTTCACACGATTAGAAAACTTGTATGGGGTAATCCGTAAAGACCCTGTTTAGAATATCTCTCTACGGAAAGACCACATGATTTTCTAAAAATACCCACGTTGTCCAAAGCTCGTAGATCGATATGGAACTGTTCATTTCATTTCCTTCTAACGTTTCGGGGTGCCATTCATTCTCGTCGCCCCGACTAATGCTACGGACGAGCCCCCTAGACGCACTGCTTCCAACTAAACTAACGACAGTGCCCCATTTGACCCATCTCATCGCCGCCACACTAATAAAAGGAATGAAAATAACTAATCGCAGTAATTACAAACAATAATACATGTACTACTCACCTCGGACAACGAGTTCCTCAAAACTTGACACCACCAGACCTTTGCGGAGGTTTCTTTGGCTGTCCCATATCTTGAAGGGTTGCTTGCCGCGCGCCTCCTGCAACAAAAAGCACTCCTTGTAGTCGCCCGCCAGAAAAGGCAGCGCGCCGAGCGACTGCCAATGGAACTGCAGTTTGGCAACAAACACGTGTGTTTGTGGCCAATTTGACTCGTTCAACACATGAGCATCGTGGTAACACTTTTTCTCGGTTGAAGAACGTTTGAAAACCTTTGGATGAATCGAAATCCTAAACGACTGTCAAACTTCGTTCCACTTCACTGCATTTTGATTGCACCTGTTGCGTGTGACCCTAAGGTGTACTGTCGATTTGGGACCCTGCTGTGAAGCCGCCTACATCCGGTGTGCATTTTTGAGGGCATTTATCGCGCTTAATTACAGTGCTAAATGGGCGGGCATCCAAGAGGAAAAAAGGATCCGCAGCTGCACTCTACTCGAAGACTAACTTACATCACACTGGCATTGGTCGGTTACTATCGACGCGCGTACTTTAAACCGATACAGCGACATAGATACTCACTGATCCGAAAAAATCTATATCTGGCTGAGACAGTTCACTCAGGAAAATTTCCTTTGTCCTTGAATTTTTCTCACCATTATGAGAAACTCGGATGCATTTTTGAACTAAATCAAATATACTTTCCTCCAACAATCTACCAGGACCAAGAAATAACTTTCTTTCTTTATTCCGACACGGTACTCTCAGGCTCTTATGACTATTCATGCAAAAATCTTGAGAAAAATCACCCCTTGTATTAACTAAGCGAAATTTGCTGTCTCCCTGGCTGAATCACCTCCTAAGATCTCCTTCCCTGCCAGTATCATTTACAACTACAACAACAACAATTGGTTTCGAATCGTCACCACGTTCGCCCATTCATTCCTTCCCGCACTTGTCCCCTTTTCAATCTAATTTCGATGCCTTGTTGTGTCCGAGAGAACCAGTCACAAAGCCCGAAATAAATCGAATCCAATTGACCTCAATTTTATTGATTTTCTCAACGACTCACTACCAGGACAGACAAGTCAAGTTTATATGCAATGAGGTCAAACTGCGTAAAGATGTTACTGCCTTAGGGATCATTATGAGGTCAACATGGCTCTGTCAGATGTCAACATGGCCGAAGTGTGACTTGGTGCTCTCTTTGGGCAAAGTAAATTCTTACTCAAAATAACTGAGACTAATGATTTTTATGGCAGATACTTTTTTTGGGATGGGAGTTTAGGAATGCGGTGGGCCGTGCACAATGTGCCGTGCGCGGTCCACAAGAATCTAGGGCCCCGGCCTCCCTGCCCCCAGCGTGGCCGTGCCGTGGCCGTGCCGCGGCCGTGCCGTGGCTCTACGCGGACCTCTCGTATCGACCCCCCGCCCACCATGGGAAGCCCCAAGCCGCGCTGCCAGGCCGACTAGCCTCATGTCTGGCTGCGCTGGGCTGGCGGCTGGGCTGGCGGCTGGGCTGGCGGTTGGGTCGGCCGCTGGCTGGTCCCACAACCTACCCTATGGTATTGGGACGAGCAGGGCAGAGCGACCCCATGAGTCAAGGGGCTTGGACCTCATCACATCATCACGGATAGCTCCGAAAAAGGGCGCGAAAAAGTATGCCCCCGCCCCCTACCTCAACTCTTCGCTTCATCGCCCCACCCTCCATTCCTCTCCCCTTCGTGGCCAAATTTTGTGAGATTGTGAGATTATCTTAGGGTCATCCGCATACTGTAATACGTCCGTCCTCTCGCACTCATTGACAAACCGCACGGAGGGACAAAGATATATCTTATGTAAGGCTATGAAACGGCACACCGCTCAAAGTGCCTGAAAAGTATGAACCTGCACTCTCATTCCAGGAACGTGACATCACGTTGAAACGAACGTGACAATATGTCACGTTCCTTTGAGCATTGTGTCACGTTCGTTTGAATGTGAACAAGCTGATTTTTTACCAATTCACACCCCAACGAATGTGACACAATACTCAAACGAGCATGATATTTTGTAACGTTCGTTTCAACGTGATGTCACGTTCCTGGAATGAGAGTGTGCACGAAAAAGCCTCAGCCGCGTGAGATGACCACAACAGTCTAAATTTTAAGCACCGCTAAAATAAATTCAAAGCTACTAATGTATTGCTTTAAAAATGTACGACTAATTTTTCAAAAATTTGTAGATTGGAGAGTATGCGATGCGGTAGAGTGCAGCTGACTTCCAAAATTGGAGGAGAAAAGGTCTGTGTGGGCCCGCGGGTTATCGTTTTTAACAGTGCCGCAAAGCTGCCTCCCGCGGGTGCGTGCATGGCGTATTTTTATCTCTGTCGCTCTCAATTTTTACGCACCCTTGCCCTTCAAAGACCCTCGACCCGCGAGCGAGGTGACCCTTCTAAAAGTTTAGCTGTGGAATCATCGGCACAGGGGAAAAAGTCCATGCCGGAGGGAGAGGCGGTAGAGGGTGCGTTATCCTATTTTTATCCGCAAATCTTCCCCACCCCTAAAAATTCCATGGAATCTCATACGCCACACCTTCCCCAGATTTCACTGCAATGTCGTCATTTTGGTACGGACTGAAGGGGCAGAAGAAGACCTCTTTTTTTACCCATAAAAATGTCATTTTCTGTGCTTTTTTGTTTTGTTTTCAAAATTGTAAGTGTTGCCAGTATTAAGGTGGCTTCCTCCTCTACTCCCCCCCCCTCCCCCGGCCATCAAAAAAAGGAGAAGAGATTGAAACAAAGAAGACAGGGGAACCGTGGTGCAGCAATTTGATCGTGTAAAAAGGGGTGGGTGTCATCATGGGGGCCGCGCAGCTGGCGTGGCTCGCGTTTCGAGTCGAGGTTTGCTTGGCGGGAGAACGTCCGGGTCGACGAGAAGCGGTCGACAAGCGACAAGCACGAGGTGCAACACCCCCCCCCCCCCCCCTCTCTACCCACCAGGGCCGGAGAGCGGAAATGTGGCGGAACACCGAACGGCGCGCCGCAAGACAACAAGCAGGACAACAAGGTCCTCTGCCAAAACTGGCTGGCGAGGCTACCCGGCAGCAGAGGCCCGGCACGGCCACGGCCTGGCCGTTCCTAACACCTCACTCCCAGCGCAAATTTTGAGATTTTTGCGCTTTTTGGAGTTTTATTTCGTAAACGGATAGAAGTGAAAAGAAGTAACTAAAAACAAATGACTAAAATAACTAAAATCCAAAATTAATTTATAAATTTGAATCATCCTCTGCATTGATTATTTTTTATCTCTAGTTGTTTACGTAATAAGGGCACTCAAAATCTCAATAAATGTTAAGTTTGCACGTCCCAGCGAGGACGAAAACTGGCGAACGGCAGTAGCGTCGCGACCGCCAAAGGAAAGTATCTCAGGAATGGATTATCGCAATGATGACAAAACCCCATGCGCCCCCATTGTTTCTGGCCGGGGCACCAACCCAGTGCCGTTCGTGTCTGAGGGTGAGAGGGCAGGGGAGGGATAACTTCGTTATAGCCACTGTCATGACCCGAGGCCTTAAGTCCCACCGAGCAAAGGGAGTAGTCGGCCACATATGACAGTGTATTTGTGTTCTACTTGGGCGTGGACCACTTCAAACACTGAAAATCTACCGGCGTGACTTCGTGCCGCTGCAGGGGCGTGAAGAAAGTGTCAGGCCATTAAACGGCATGACACAAAAGTCACGCCAAAAATCGGCGTGACTCAAAAATTCACGCCAATTTTTGGCGTGAATTTCTTGTCATGCCGCTTTTTGGCGTGACTTGCCTCAGAAAACGCGTTGTCAATCACGCCAAATGAGGGCGTGACTCATATGTCACGCCGTTTTTCAGCGTGAATTTCGTGTCACGCCAATTTTTGGCGTGACTTTTTGTCACGCCATAATTTGGCCATGTGTCCGACCATTACGTTTTCAGTGAATTGTTTAAAAATCAACGTTTTAAGCATGGAAGCATCGTTCCAAAGACTGTCATCACAGTGCCGGTGCACCGGTGCGACCTGCGTGTTCCGGGCGTGGCCCACCGCGGCATGGGCATGGCGGCATGGGTATGGCGGCATGGGCATGGCGGCATGGGCATGGCGGCATGGGTATGGCGGCATGGGTATGGCGGCATGGGTATGGCGTCATGGGCATGGCGGCATGGCATGGCGGCATGGGCATGGCGGCATGGGTATGGCGGCATGGGTATGGCGTCATGGGCATGGCGGCATGGCATGGCGGCATGGGTATGGCGGCATGGGCATGGCGGCATGGGCATGGCAGCATGGACATGGCGGCATGGGCATGGCGGCATGGCCCACCCACAGCGCGGCTCGCGTGGTGACCCACGGCGCGGTCCATACGACTTAGGCCACTGCAGGTCCATAATATCGATTCGTGGCCCACGCCCTTCCCAACAGTGTGACGGTGTATTGTGACGCGTGATTGGTGCTGTTACTGGTGTACTCACGGTCTCGGTCATGCCCGCCTGGTGCTCAGTATCCAGAGTAAATCCACACGGTTGCGGTTGCACATCACTAATCACACTGGTTAGGTTAGGGTTGCCCCTCACTCATCACACTTCACTTGGCTTGCGCTGCTTCCGATATCACTCTCACTTTAGCCTGGCCTGTGCCGGTCCGGGACTCTGGGATGGAGGATGGGGGCTCAGCGCGGAGGGCCCGCCCCTAGCGCCCCGGCCCTTCGTAGCCGTGGGCAAGGCCTCGGGCAAGGCCGTGGGCAAGGCCGTGGGCAAGGCCGTGGGCTTACCTCTCTTGCCATCACGCGCCCATTACGGCCTGGCTGCCATGGGGCCCTCGCTGGGGCCCTCGCTGGGGCCCGCGGCCCTGCGGCCTGGCCTGCTCAGCACTGCGACACTGCCTGCGACACTGCCACACTGCGACGCGCTTCACTGTTCCTTGCAGCTGCACAGGCTGCACAGGCTGCAGCGGCTGCCGCCGAGGCTGCAGTTGCTGCAGAGGCTGCAGAGGCTGCCAAGGCTGGGCCGGCCTGCGGCTGCAGCTGCTGCGGGGGCTGCGGGGGCTGCGGTGGCCCACCGACCGTGGCTGTGCGGACTGGATGGACTAGGCCATGACGGGGTCGCCATGCCGATGCTGAGGCCGCTATCTAGCCATGGCGCTGCGGTTGCAGCCATAAGGCCATGCGGCGCGGCCCGGCGGCCTGGGCTGGCCTGGCCTGGACTGGCCTGGGCTGGGCCTGGGCCCCTCCCCGCCCTCTCTCTCCGGCTATCGCGGCTGGCGCGGCTGGCGGCGGAAGATCTCGGCAGCTGTCGTCGTGTCGCGGGTCGACGCGGTCCTCGCGGGTGGTGGCCGTGCGTCCGGCCCTGCCTCCCTGGCCAGAGCCTCGCCGTCCGTGCCCCCCCGATCCGTGCTGACTCCGTCACTCCGTCACTCCGTCCAGGTCCTGGCACACCCAGCCCAGCCCGTCCCGCGCCGTCCCTTCTGGCCCCAGGACCTACCGCGCTCGCACTGAGGCTGCCAGGACTCTCGCCACGCCAGGCTCGCCACCCCCTCTTCCCCGCGGCCCCGCCCCGCCCCCGGCCCGCCCCCGGCCCGCCCCCGCTACGGCCCCCGCTGCCCCCGTCGGCCGCCGCATCCCTCGTTGGTCCTGGGGCCGCCTCCCACTCGGCGCACCCGCCCCCCACACTCGCCCCTTCAGGACCTTAGGCCGGAGGGTGGGGCGGGGCGGGGCGGGGCGGGGCGGGGGTGCGACCGAAGAATTCCACTGAAACGGCTGTCACCCCGGAGGAATGCGGCACTAAATTGCCGTTATTCCAGTTCGCTTAATTTGAAATAGCCCTGGATCAATTTCGTTCATCACTTCAAACGCAATTTTTAAGATTGAGGTGAATGCAACGTCCTTATGGCGAGCGGGAGGGGCGGGGAAGGCCATGTGAGGAGAAGGCCTGGCCGTCCTCTCTCTAGGGCTTACTCGCGTCGGAATCGGAAGCCCCCTACTTCGCAACCCAAGGGAGAAACAGTTTCCCGCCATCGTTCAATTTTCCCGCCTTAGGCGAGTGCCAACAGCTGAAATGTGACGAATTGTGTCGTTCGTCTTGCCGTCATGTCCCTCAACATTTCTTCTTTTCGTGCTGAATTTCAAATTTCCCATCGTTCCCTGCTTGGTATGTCATACTTTCATCTCTTGAAAACTTAAACGGTTTTGATACTGGCTCGTTTGAATGTTACACAGCCTGTATGAGAAGCTGTGCGTTATTCGCAGGCATAGATAGAACTTTATTCGCAGTATTGTGTGTTGTGGTCTGCTAGCCGTGTGATGTTGTCAACATTAAAAGCCCGTTTAAAAGTGGAATTTCGACCTGATACTGTTTCTCTCGCCTTTCCAGCATAGGTATTACAATTTTCAATCCGAAACACATTTTCCTATTAAGTGCTTCATCTTTGGCATTCTATTGATTCGTATTCTCATTCTGGTCCAAGGTTAGGTTCTCCTTTTGTTTTGTAAATTAATGGATGAGATGGAGATTCAAACGGAGTTGTCTGACTCAAATCAAGTTCCATTGCTGAAAGATACGGAGCAAGAATCTGGAAATTCTAATGGAGCTTCAAATGACGTCCAGGATCAGGATCTCGCTGAATCAAATAGTTCCGATACATCTCAGCAACTTAGTAAAAGGATGCAACGGAAAATTAGAAAGCGGGAGCAGTGGTTGGCAAATCTTCCTGCAAAGAGGTAATATGAATCGTTTGTTCAATTTTTTTTGTTTGACATAACTATTATTCCTAATTCATCCATGTGCTAATTTTACAGAGCCAAAGAGAGAGAGAAATACAAACTGAAGCGGCAAGCTGCGCGCGCTAACAATGAAGTCCTCCCATCACGGAAAAAACTTAAAGAGTGCACTATGGCCAATAGTAGCTGCAAAGTTCGTGTGTGTATTGACTTGGACTTTGATGACCTTATGAACCCTCGGGTGAGCAAGTAATAAATGTAAATGCAAAGCCTTTCCTGTTATTTTAATAATTTTGTTCTGACCTGTGCTTTCTTACAGGATATTGGCAAATGTGTGAAGCAAATGATGAGATGCTACACTCTTAACAGACGGACAGAAAATCCCATGCAGCTTTATTTTACTAGTTTCAATGGAAAGTCCGAACAAGAAATGAATAAAAATAATGGTTACATGAATTGGGATGTGAGTATTGTTAAATCTGTTGTTGTGAAGCTCTATTTTGTTTTTCTTGAAATAATTTATAATCAGAATATGAATGTAGGTTCACTTTGAAAAGAACGCCTATACTGATGTGTTTTCAAAAGATGAAATCATCTACTTAAGCAGCGAGTCTGATAATATAATAAGTGATCTAGATGACACAAAAGTCTACATTATTGGTGGACTTGTTGATCACAATGCTCATAAGGTAATTTTTTCTTCATCTTCTTTAAACCGCAAGATGTTATAAAATTATTTTTATGATTTTGTAACCATTATGTATTTTCAATAGGGTTTATGTCATCGCTTAGCTGAAGAAAAGAAGATAGCTCATGCCCAACTTCCAATATCTGAGTTTCTGGACCTCAAATCAAGAAAGGTTTTAACCATTGATCATGGTAAGACCAAAGTGAACCTTCTGGGGCTGGGTGTTTCATTCTCACTGTATTTTTCATACTTTTCTTGTTTCTTTTATTTTTAGTATTTGAGATTCTTCTTGGTGTGAGCCAAGGCCTGTCTTGGAAAGACGCATTCTTGAAGGTTTTACCTCAACGGAAAGGAGCTATTGTCAAGGAAGAAAATAGTTCGGATACTTGCACAGATGTCAAGAATTCTGAAAATGCGTGTATTAATACAGAAAATACCTTTACACACAAAGAACTTTCTGCTCTTTCCGAAGTCAATAAAATTGAAGTGGAAGAAAAACTGTCTGAAACTTAATGAAGTTTGTGCAGAATATTTCATTTTTGTTAACCAATTTTGTGATAAATTTTGTGCCTTGTTATTTACAACATTTGTAATTGTTTGACAGTAAATGCTAATAATGTTGAACATTTTATTTATCAGGGCCAATTTCCAACTCCTTGCACCTCTCTTTATCTATCCTCTCCATCTCTCTTACTTTGGCTGCAATTTCTTGCTGAATTATTGGATAGTATTTATGAGCCTGGCCAAGATCTTCCATCTCTTTCAAAAACTGCACACGCTCATTCACTTCTTGTACAACTGCAAAACATTAAAAAAAACAAAGTTTTTATTTGTTACTTATTTTTAGCTTATTTGAGGGGGTAATTAAATAACATGTACTCACGTTCGTCAAAGCGGTCCATCTCGGCCTGGGCCGGCGGACTGGACGGCCTCCTGAACTTGCTCTTCTTGTTGCGAGGGGAGGGCGGCATCACCCTGCCGAAGGACATCTTGTCTTGGAACGTGCGCTTCTCCCCGTCTTTGTCAACTGCAACAATGCAAGGCGACCTACTTTCACGGCCATTCGCAGATGCCGTCGTTCTGCTGGCCAGGTGTACTCGCTCGATTCTACAGCCGCGCGCCGGCGGAGCTGCCTGAGCCACCGTACACCGAAAAAACTTGAATGAGCCCTCTTACTTCTCGGGTGCGCGGGCACGAAGCGGTCCCTCTCGTAGGCGCCCGAGCTGAGAATGGTGTCCCGCAGGCGTCGGCACCCCAGCCGGAAGGGGTTGTTGGCTTCGAAGGGGTTGTTGGCGCGGGGCAGCGACGAGGGGCAGTGCGCGGGCTGCGGCTGTGCGGGCAGCGAGTCTCCCTGGCGCAGCGACGCGCCCAGCTGCTTGCGCTGCAGCATGGTCAACCGGCTCTCCGCCATCAGGACTAGACACAAAATGGAAAACGTCAAAAGGCGAGGTTTGAACCAGGGCCACTCGCATGCGTCAACACGACCAGTACCTTTGAGGAGCTGGTGCGTTTCGGGGCTGTACGTGGCCCGCTTGGCGTGCAGCACCCCCGCCCCCATGGGCACGCTGGGGTACTTCCTGTCCATGGCCGCGCTGCCGCTGACTGGCGCCAGGCGCCGCGGTTCTTGCTGTCGGTCCTGTCGGTCCCGATGTAGTGCCTCGCGGTGCACGCGCCGGAACGGCCGGAACGAGGACGGGGCTACAGTGGCGCGGCGGCGGGGCGGGGAGGGTCGCGACGACGCGGTGCCATGGAAACGGCCGACAACCCCTCCGGGACGCCCTGGCTGACGCTGCCTACGCCAGCCTATGCCGTCGCGGCGGGCCGAGGGTCGCGCCGGCGTCTCTGGATCGTCTCACCCTCTCCTGGGTGTTGATGTCGATATCGTCGGCACGCCCTCCAGCGACCCAACCGCCACCCAGCCGCGCAATGACAACCAGCTCGCCCTGCTCCATGTGCCCCGTGTCCGACCAGGCTGCCCAGCATGGTCGAGGTCGATGACCGCAAAGGAAGGCGAGAGGAACTTGAACGCAGACGGCACCGCGTCGCCGCGCTTTCGGAGACGAGTTTTGAAGCTCGCACCGTGCCCGCCACCGCCAACGCACGGCGACTGCGAATAGCGGCTGTTGCTCGCGGGAAGCGGCAACGGTAACGGCACGGGGGGCAGGTTAGGAGGGGCTGATGCTGACCCCTCGGCATCCGCGCGGCCCGCGCTCCGCGGCTAACCCCGTGGCGCCTGGCGCCCCCTGGCGGCCGAGGAGGCAAGTTGCGCGTTCCGGCCGCGGCGCGGCGTCGCGTCCCACGCGGTGGCCCGGTGGCCAGGGCGGCCCAGCGGGCCAGGCCGCCAGCCCGGATCGATGGCTTGGTGGCCGCCCCCGCCCCTCCCTGTAGAGGCATGCCCAGCGGGCTGATTCCGAACAGTGCTTTCGTCGTTCCGTCTCCCTCGCGCTCACAGTGTGTCGCCCGACAGGGTGCGAGAGAGACACAGCGACCAAGTGCTGTTCCGGATCAACCCTGGTCCTGCCACCGCGGCCGCGCCGCGCTCCGGGCGCGGGGGTGGGGGCGGCGTGGGGGTGCAGCGCGGGGCCCGGCCAGTTCCACCAGTGGCCGCTGCCAGACGGGGGCGCCAGCGTCGCTTTGGCCTGCGCCGTTCTGCGCGAGCGGTGTGTTCCTGCGTCGTTTGCTTTGCTTCCTAGTCCAGGCAGTCCAGGCAGCGGATCAGACCCCGGACAGCGGTTCGGCGCACTTTCCGAGGTAAGGCAGGCCGTTGTCGCTTGCAGGTGCCCGTCGTGCCTGCCGTCCTGGTGCTGCGGGCCGCGGCAGGGCGTCGTTGCGTTGCTCGTTGTCGCGGGGCCGCTGCCCGTTCGCCGCGCGCCGCGGCCCAGGCCGGAGGGGTCGGAGTCCCGGAAGGCAGGGGGCTGGCTCGGGGCTGGCGGCACGGTCGGGTCGCCTCGGGGGCAAATCAGGCAAACGCCAGGCCCTTGGCCAGGCCAGGTCAAGCGGCACTGTTGCGCGTTGTGCGTCGTATCGCCAAGGGTCCCTGCACCGTGAGCCCGCGGGCCTAGCCATCGCATTTGCGTGTGCTGCTGACCCACGAGTGTGTGCGCGTCGGGGGTGGGGGAGGGTGGGGGGTGCCGGACTTGCTCTCATTGACAAAGTGGGCCCCGCTGGGGGCGCAGCCAGCAGCCAGCTCTACGCTGGTTCCGCGCGCACGGGGCATGCTGCCTGCAGGCCATGCCGGCCAGTCGGTGCAAGTTTAAGGGCGAGGAGGGCGCCCGACGACTCCCGTGTAGGCATCCCGCACTCACTGGTGCTCGGCGTGCTGCCTATCCAGTGGCCGGCAGGCGTCTGTGTTGGTTCGGCCTGCGCATTCCGCGCAGTGTGACTGACTGCAGCTGTGCCTGACTGACCGGAGGTGTTCTTTCTCTCTCTTCCAGCGTCGCTGCGCCACCGGCGCCAAGTTCAGCCACCATGGGGATTCAGGTAAGCGCGACCCCGCCAGACTACTCAACATTTTTCGCCAGGGCGTCCGTCCTGACGTGATTTTGCCTCTCCTCCAGTTCCTCAAGGTGTCCAACATGTCGAAGCCCACTCCCAACGCGGCCACCCCGTCCGCGGCAGCGCCCCCTGCCGCCCAGGGTGGCCAAGGCGTCCAGGGTGGTGTGCAGGGCGTCCAGGGCGTCCAGGGCATTCAGGGCGTCCAAGGCGCTAAGGGCGTCCAGGGCGTTCTCGGCGGCATCCACGGCGGCGTCCACGGCAACGCCCAGGGCAGCGTCCCCAGGTGCGGCCATTGGGGAGGGCTGCAGGGCTGCGGGCTGGGGGCACCCAAGCCCCGCACCATCGCCAAGCGAGTCAGTAACAGGGCCAAGGTAGGCGCGAGCGTGGACGTCAATGTTGCGTGCCAAATTTGAACTTAGCCGTCTAACCGCATCGCTTTCGGTAGCGAGTCTACGTGATGCAGGGGCGGCCGCTGCTGAGCAGGGTGTACCGCTTCTTCGGGCTGCGCCACGGCACCATGCTGATCGCCATCCACGACCTGGTAAGCGCCGCCAGCCCGGCCAGCGGCCAGCCTGGCCAGCCGCCACCTGCTGACCAACCAGTGGCCAGTGGCATGGCTTTGAACCTGGGTTTGAACCTGCGCGGCGCGCCGCGGCGTGTCTGCAGATGTGGAGCTCGTTCGTGGTGTTCATGCTGGTGCTGGCCACGGCGCACACGCGGGAGATGTCGCGTATGGTGGAGAACGACGTGCAGGCCCAGATGGCGGAGCGCGCAGGGGCGGCCGTCGACGGCGAGAAGCACCACCAGCAGCACCACGCCGGTCAGGCCGGCCAGGCCGGGCAGCCCGCCCTGCCCGACACGCGCTCCTTCTACGAGCGGTACATCGAGGCGGCCATGTCCCAGGCCATGTCCCAGGCCCAGTTCAGCAAGGAGATGCACGAGAACGAGGTGAAGCTCAACAACGGGCTGCACATCGCCACAGGTCAGTGATTGCCGTGCCAGGATACCGCGCATTGAAATTAAAACTCTCGTTCGAAGAACGTTAGTAAACGAAGTTGATTATGTTCTCTGCTGACAGCAATGACCGTGGTCATGGTGTTTGGAATCTCCATGGCCGGCATCGACATGATCGCTTCTATGATGCTGTTGGCTGGAGCCGCTCTGGTGAGTGGCATGGGGAGGTTCATGAAACCTGTGTGAGAAGCTGAGGCTGAGACTAACCTGGTTGACTGGCCCAACCCGCAGCACGTGCGGCAGCTCATGATGCCCTGGCTGTCCCTGCGCTTGCTGGAGATGATGCTCCTCGTCGGCAGCACCGTGGTCTCCATGTTCTGCTACGACCACGGCCTCATCTTCTTCAAGGTGCTCTTCACCGTCTGCCTCATTATCTGTAAGTACCGCAGTTTGGCGACCTCGCGGGAATAGGCCCTTTCTCTCCTGCACTGTAAAGTCAACTTGGCTCGCCCCTGTTCCAGTCGTCGTCTTCTACCACTGGCTGGTGGCCTACTCGCTCCACGAGCACCTCTGCCGCCTGGAGCGCACGGGGCTCGTGCACCACACCCGGCCCAGCCACCACCGCCACGGGGACAGCGTGACCACGCTGACGGCGGCCACGGTGGTGACCCACAGCTCCGGCCACCAGATCCCGGTCCACACCTGCGACGCGCCTCTCTGCCCCAACGCCGGCCGCATCTACAACAACCACCTGTTCAACCCCTCCTCCAAGGCGTACCTGGTCCCGGTGGTGGACTGCCGCCACACGTGTGGGGACACGACGGGCCTGCTCTCCGCCGCCATCGGCCAGCCCATGTCCGCGCCCCCCGCCACCCTCGCACCCCTCGCGGCCGCGGCCACCCCGGCGGCCACCGTGGCGGCCACCGTGGCCTCCGCGGACCCCGTCGCCCCCGCCGCCCCCGCCGCCCCCATTCCAGCCATGCCGCACTTGGAGGTGTCCGAGCTGCCCGCCAAGCCCGCCACGCTCGTGCCTCCTCCGTCGACACCAGCACCGGGTTCAGGTGCCGCTTCGGAAGAGGAGAAGGACCAGTACCGGGTCTAGGTCTAGGCGGCCTACGGCCTACCCCATGCTCCATGGATTCGGGGTTGCTGTGGCCCTCTTCATGCCGAGGCCACTGCTGCGGAGTCCCGAGAGCATGGGGTATCCGTCATCCGTCGTTGCTGTCCCTTCGTTTCCTCTTGGTTTATTCGGCTGGAGTTGTGCGCGCTGCCTCGTGCGTGCACGTGGCACGTCGTGAACGTCGTGGCAGCAGGCGTGTCGAAACTAGGTATCCTGGTCTCCCAATTCCCAGCATGTGTAACTTTATTTGTTCATGAATTTTTTAGTGCTGCTGTGTTTCTTTAGGACAAAGATTTAGCTTCTGGTAAGCCGTTGTGGTAGTAGTGATGACTGTTTCACAAATTTTAAACAGAAAGTAATGGAAGATTGGATTTTATGTCAGAAAGTATTGGGGTTGTTACACGTGGAGTACACAAATATAATTAAATACTGTAGCCAGAATTTTGGATAGTGAATGGAGGGAAAATGTCTAAAAATGATCCCCTTTTCCTCCTATTTATCAGTATCCATAATTTGAAATATGTACGTGTGTAGCTCCCCTCCCTATAAACTTTTGTTTCCTTCATATCTGTACAATGTGCTTGAAGAGCATGAGGACCTGTACTGATGTATCCATTATCATTTATTTATAATGTTATTTTTAAACCATTATGTTTATATAAGCAAGTTATATAATTGTTTTTGTTTTTGGTTGGTTATTGTGGCTCATTTTGAAGAAATGGTGAATCATCACTTTTCTTCCTCAAATGTTTTCCATTTTCTTTTTAGAAAAGATGAGCTCTCTAGACCTCTTTTAACTGTTTCCTTCAGTGCCTATAGAAGTGTTTGATTTTAACAGTTCACATGGAAAATGCTCATCATAGATTATTTCATAGTCATCCTCTTTATTTTGTCATAATGTTCATATACTTTTTAACCGTTCCTTTAAGTTAACTTCTTAAAAATGACGTATATATTTAAAATTTTTGATTAATTGAGTGTGAATGTAAGATGTAAAATTTATATTAAATATTCAATTCAAGGTGATGAGCAGATCACCTCCAGTACGAAACATGTGCAGAATGGCTGTGATTGCTCGTTGTGATTTGAAAAAGTAAGTGTAGGTTTACGAGTAATGAATGAGTTTGAAACCCTCAACCAGATCAGCAGAGGTACACTATGGACTGGACACCGGTATGCTGATTTGTCTCCAACGTTTTTATGATGTCCCAGGAAAAAAGGAATGAGCAGGCTGCCAAGAAAAAGTTGTGGTAAAGCTGCACTTTGTTATACTTTTAAATGTGTTATCTCAGAGCGCTACTGAGGTGTGCCCCCTCTTTCGTTCTGTGTTTAGTGCTGTGAGTGAACAGTTTGTGAAAACTTACTCTATCCTGCTGCTGTGGCCTAAGGGATGTGCAAACAGAAAGTAGTGCCAAAAAGTATTAAAAAGTTGAAGGACATTTAAATATTGTCCTTCAGCATTTCAGGCTTCCTCATACTGGAGGAAATGCAACACCTCTCCCCAAAGTGTAAGATAGCTTGAAAAATTTGTGGAGGCTCGTACATAAATTATGAAAATGATACATATCTGTTCTTAGGTGAAGAGCAATATAATCTAATTAGAATGGGGTTGTGAGATTTGTGCACTCTACGTGTCAAGCTCACTAATGATGCTGACTAAGGGGCTGACCAAACAATCCGCTCCCTTGGCTGATTTTTGTCTGCAGTTTCTCTGTCCCTCTCCGCTCTCCACCAGCACAAAGCAAACCACAATCTACCTGGATCCGCCTCTTTTCACAATACTATCTGGTTGTCTACTCCTTCACTTTGAATGTAATTTAGCTCAGACTGAGGCACAACCATCAAATTTTCTGTTTGTAGATATACGTTTGTTTACATGTTTCATAGTTGTCATTCCCTCTTTTGTGAGTGAACCCTCCCATATATGTACATACCTATCCGGCCACCTGTTTTCTCTCTAGTCAACATTATGTAAACGTGTGTGATGTTAGGAATAAACTGACGTCTTCAGTGACGGTCGGAAAAGTCGGATGGTCTTGGTTTTGCTTTTCTCCCAACCCTTTCCTTTGGAACGAGGCGAGTCCCCTGCCCGCCCGCGTTCAAACTGATGGCGGGAAGCCCGCTGCGCAGCGCACTGCGCGCGTGGTGCGGCTATCGGCCGACAGGTGGCAGCACGAGTCGCGGAGCTCGGCGCGCTGCCGCGAGCGCCGTGCGGTGAGTCGGCGGTTGGTTGGGATTGTTGCGGACAGAGCGCGCTGTGACCCCAATAACAGACTTCTCGTTCTCGGCTCGGCTCGGCGGCGGGCGGCGGGGCGGTGGAAGGAGAGAAGGAGCGACGACAGTTACCCTGACAGCTTCGGCAACCAGTGTGTCATGTGCGTTGGTAGCGGCCGGATCGGGTCCGTGTGCGGTGTGCCGTGTTCGATTCGAGTGCCGAGTGCACTTGTGCCGTCGCCGTCTGCGTGTGGAGTGCACGGTGCACCCAGTGTGCGCCAGCCAGTGTTTTGATGCACCCGCCATGTTGTGAATTGTGAATGAGATGTGTGTGGCTTGTCTTGCTTGTCTGTGTGATGAAGTCTACGAGCGAATCTTTGCATTGGATACCATGAACCTCCAGCGACGACCGCGTTGGGGCGCCTGAACTCTGCCAAACAAGGTGGGTTTCTCCTTTCGCCCTCCCGACTTCCTGTTTTTTGCTATTCTTTCATCACATTCTCAATTTTGCCAGTCTGTCTAAAGTCCACGTATGTTTTGGCAATCTCCAGTGCTTAACCTGTCCTGTGTCATACCAACATTTTAAAGCCCAATGTTTATATTTATCCACAAACTTTCGTTTTGGAAATGCCCAAAAAAACATTCCTCGTGTCTTGCCGTTCTCTTATTCATCCATGAAACGTTCCTAACCTTTCATGTTACGTTTCCAATTCATTGTTAGTTTGTTATGATTTGAGGTTATGGTTACCAGTAGGAGCATGAATCACAATTGTCAGATGTTATCTGGGGTATTTAAAGAAAATGTGTTTCAGCGCCGCGTTGAAATATGTAGACCAGAGTCTGCAATAAAATTTCTGATTTACTAACTAATTTTAGCATTTACACTACATGCACTTTTTGTCCGATGTTATCAAATACTAGCTAATCTGCACTAATGTAGCACCACTTGTCATTGTCTTTGTTCTATTTACCTCGTCTCCCGTGAATACTGTTATAAACTGGCTCATGTTCTATATTTATTGTGTTGTGTCCATTTGCAAAGGCGCCTCGTTCAGAAGTGCTTTTTAAACTGTAATCTCTGGAAAACATTCTATCATGGAGCGGACGGATGCATTTATTTCCGAAAACTTACATACTGTCCCTGTCCCTCATAATGCCGTCTTTTCATGCAAAATTTTATGCATGGTGATGGTTTTTACCTGTTAAAGATATTCTAATAATTCACGGAAATGTTATCTATCTGACAGGTGCCCGTGAATTTTGGAATATTGATTGGAAAGCATTTTGCACTGTTTTCGGATATGTTCCAGTTATCTGTTAAATGATTAATTCACATTTAAAGTTGGGGGTGTTGGTAATGTGTGCGTGCACCTGACCATTTATCTTTCATCATGTTGCTTATTGGAGGTAGTGCATTTGTTGTTGAAAGTTACACAAGACAAATAGTAAATTGTTGGCCTTTTCAGTCTCAGGAACCTCAAAACCACCCAAATGAGGAACAAACCCCTTGAAAATGACATGTCCTATAATTATTTGTAAGCTGATCAATGCGGGCGATTTGTGCCTCAGTGCCTTACAAATTAAATCGATTAAAGAGGGACACAGGTCTGTCGCGAATATGAGTTGAATTTATTGAGTGAAATTGGGTTTTGACTCCGAGCCGATGGCTCGGCGCTGCCCTGCCAACGTTGCTCCTCAGTCAAATCCATCCACTCAAGGAGCGGCAGGGCCGGGCAGGGCGGGGCGTTACGCAACTGGCACGTTCCCTTTAAATGAAAGGGAGTGGAATCGGAGACAGAGAGTGATGCCGATGCCCTTTGCACCGGCCGAGCAGGGCCGGCAGGGCTGCCCACTGCCCACGCCTGTCCCGGCTGGTCCCGGCTTGACTAGGCCTGACTCATCCCGTCAGAAGACTCGCTCTGTCTCTCTCGCACTCATGGGGCTCCCCGTAAGGGTGCGAGAGAGACAGAGCTCTCCCGAATCGCTCGGCAGGCCGGCAGGCCGGCAAGCAGGGAAAACCCATAGAAAGGACCAGGAATGTGGGCGGATAGGATGCTGCCCAAAGGGCCAAGGGCCTCGCGGGGCTACGCGGGGCTACGCGGGGCTACGCGGGGACAGCGGCCCTTTGGACAGCCCTGGGCCCTTCTCTCGCCGTCCTTGCCGCCGCGCCTCGCCCTCCCTTCCGGGATTAAAAAGGGTCGTGATCGGGAGTTATGAGACTGGCATGGTGGTGTGGGCGACGCGACGCGTCCTCTCCCGGCCCTTCGCCCTTCTTGATGCAGACGAGGACGACGACGAGGACGACGGGCGAGGGACGACGACGACGACGAGCGACGACAGAGACGACGAGGGACCCGGACGAAGACGGACGACCGAGGCGGAACGCGCTGGCGGCCGCTCTGTCTCTCTCGCACCCCCAGGGAACCGCAGGGCACCGCAGGGAGCGGCCCGCGAGTGCGAGAGAGACAGAGCATGCTGGAAGTGGGTCGGCCTCATCTCGCCTCAACGCAACGGGGCGCGACGCGTCACGCGTGTCTCGGCCGTGTTTCTCACGCGCCAAAGGGCAAACGGGCCCAAGGTGGATTTGGGGATTCTGCCTCGGCACTTCGGCCCCTGCCTCGGCCTCATCTCCCTGCCGTCTGCTGGGGCGCGGCGGGGCGCGGCGGGACGCGGGACGCCGGAGGCTGGAACAGCTATGGAACAGCTGGAACGGGGAAACGGCGCTCTGGAGTGGCGGGGCCGCCAGGCCGCTAGGCGGCGACCGTGCGCATCAGCCCTGGGGCCGCATCACCGCCTCGGACTGCCTCGGACTGCGTAACCCCGGGCCTAGGAACTCCATGCTTTCTTTCGTCGCTGTCTCTCTCGCACTCACACTGTGAGAAAATATCACCGTAAATCCTGTAGTGATTAGTACAGCTGTCACTGTAGTTCAGAGTACAGGATTTACTTTACTTTTTTACAGGATCTACTGTACTTTGTACGGGATTTACTGTTACCACAGGAGTAGAGTACGGAAAATCCTGTACCAGGTACAGTAAATGCTGTAACCAGGCACAGTAAATACTGTGTCCTGAACTACAGTAAATCCCGGCAAAAAAAATTAACGGAATTTACTGTGGTTTTTTCGCCGCGTCCCGTAGTGAGGGTGCGAGAGACGCACTGCTCGCTGCTCGGGATGTGTGCCCGTCGGGGTCACTGGGAGGGGCATGCGTGTCGCGGCTGCACAGGTGGGGCTGGAGGAAGGGTTCCCGAATGTGTGCGTGTGTGTTTTCCGCATGACGTCGCTGCCGGTCGGTGCCGGTCGCGGCCAGTCTGGCCAGTGAGTCGGTCCGCGGATCGGGCGAGCCTCGGGGCGGCAGCGCCTTGTGGTGGTGCACCAGTGATACGCGGCCGCGCGCCGCCGCTCCCCGCCGAGCGCAAGGTCGCCGTGCTATACACTGTGCCACACTGTACGGCTCCAGGCAAGCGAGGAGGGGGGGGGGGATGGAATTATGGGATCAAAGTAAAGTGGCGCCGGTGATGCAATAATGCTGAAGGGAGTGAGCGAGACGGCTGCAGGTTGACATCCTCGTTGTTGTGGTGCGCGGCCGTCCCTCTCTCTCTCTCTCTTCTCTCTCTCTCTCTTCTCTCTCTCTCGCTCACGCACTGGCCGGCGCCTGGACGCCTGGACGCCGGCCGCGGCTCCTTGTTTGGGAAGAGACAACTATTATTAGCGCTTCCAATTGGCGTACTTAGCCTGCAAAGTAGTGGCGCGGCGCTGGCCTGGGCTGGCCTGGGCTGGCCGAGGCTGGCCGGCGCTAGCGTGACTGGGAGAGAGAGACAGACTGCTGCACAAATTGCCCAAGGCGGCCGCCCTCCCCGCGCCCCCGTTTCCCCCTCCCCCTTTTTCTTTTCGGCGCTACTATTTCCGGTTCATTTTTTCGTCATTTGCGTGGGCCGTGTTGGGGTCAAGGCGGCGGGGAGGGGAAGGAGGAATACTGCAGAGTCGTTTTCGTCGCTCTGTCTCTCTCTCGCACCTGTACGGGACGCCCTCGTGAGTGCGAGAGAGACAGAGCGACCATCAGCCTGCTGGGGCGCTGGAGCGAGGGGGCAAAAACTCGCGCAATCATGTGTACACGGCCCCCGAAATCACACGCGAATCATTGAGAATCACGCGAAATCAAGCAATCCGAAATCAACCAAAATCACTAAATTCGACCGAAATTAGGCAGAATCACACGAAACCCGGCCAAATCAGTCCGAAATCATTTCTTTCCGAACACAATCACACGCAATCACGCTCAACATCACCCTGGTGCGTCGCGAAATAAGGCAAAATCAGCCATGAAATCAATTAAAACCATGCGCAATCATTGCGTTTTCCGAATCATGTGTACACGAAAATCCCGAGTTTTTGCCCCCTCGCGCTGGAGCGCGCTGGAGCTGGAGCGAAGCGGGAAGTCGCCACCCTGGAGGCCCGAGCGGCCCGAGCGCGCCTCAGCCTTTGTTGCTGGAGCCTGGATGGAGTGCGCGCACCGCGGCCCCCGCGGCCGCGCACCGCGCAGCAGAGTACGTACGTCGCGCGGCCGCGGGTACGGGTAGCGCCCTGCTCGGCTCGGCTCGGCCCGACCAGGCTGGCTCGGCCCGGCTCGGTCTCCGCCGCGGCCCGGCTCGTCTCGTTGGCGGGGCGACCCAAGGTCCTCTCGGTCCTCGCTCCGCCGTGCTCGCCGTGCTCCCGCAGCTCCGCGTTGCTCGGCGCGCTCTTGGCGGCCACGGCGCGGCGGCCGGCGCGGCCAGCGAAGCCAGTGCTGCTGCACAGAGCCCAACGCTCAATTACTGGGCAGACGCGGCGTGGCGCGGCGTGGCGGCGCGGTCGCCGGGTTTCGCGCCTCCTTACCGACGACGGCCACCGCGGCCACAAGGAAGGGCGGGCCGACGGACGGACGGACGGACAGACAGACAGACAGACGGACGCCGCTCTGATGGATGAAGGTGCCGCCGTTTCTCACGCCGAATTTCCACAATTAGACATTAGCCAGCATTACTCAGGGCCCAGGGCTCCCAGGGCGGCTCCTGATTGCGGCACGACGTCGCCGTGGTTCGCCCCGCCTCGCCCCGCCCCGCCCCGCCCCGCCCCGCCCCACGACGCGACGCCGCCCGCCTCCGAGTCGTGCTAAAAGTGTCGGGGAAAGAAAGCGGCGTGGTTTAAGGAAAATGCTGTCGTCATTTCTTCTCCCGTTCTTTCGTCCTTTTCGTTTTATCCTTTTTTGTTGTTGTTGTTTTGGCGCGCAAGCGTCGTCGCCCTTTCTCCGCGCGCCTAATCAAGCTTTTTGCTGTTGTTGTTTTGCCGGCCCCTGTCGGCCGGGCTCGCGCGGCTCGCGCCTCCAAATGTGTGCTGACTGCCCCTGGTGGTCTCCGCGGACTGATGCCGAGAGTCCGTTTCGTCGCTCTGTCTCCCTCGCACCCGTACGGGGACGCCCCCGAGTGCGAGGGAGGCACCGCCACACTCTCGGAATGAGTCCGCTGACGGTAATGCTGTTTGCAGGTGGCGGCGATGCAGGACGGTGTCCGGGACGGAGCCCGGCGCGCGCCGCAGGTGAGTCTCGTCTTGGTGTCGTCGCCGTGCCGTGTGTGTGGCCCACACTGTGTTCACTTTCCCTCCCCGCCGAGGGGTTCGCCGCTCTTCGACACCCGGGTGGGTGGCATTCGTTGTTTGCGCCGCTAATTTCGTCACTAATCGTCCGAAAGGCTCGACAGCTCGAAAGAGAGCGGCCGGGGGAAAAGGAGGGCGATGCTGCCTTATGGTGGCGTAGTCTCGACGGACAGTAACCGGAGTAATGGTCTGCATCGAGGCGACGGGGACGGCCGGGGCGGCGGCGCGGCGCGGCGGAGACCATGGGCCTGTTTAATGCATGGGCCGCGGTCTGCGCGCTCTGCACTGCACATTGAGCCTAGGCCTCGGGGGCCGTCCGTCAGTCCGTCCGTCAGGCCGTCGTCGCTCTGTCTCTCTCGCACTCGTGGGTCGTCCCGTAGGGCCGTGGCGGTGCGACGGAGACAGAGCGACCCTAGCAGCCCGCTGTTTGGAATGCCGACTGCAGTCCTCTACTGGGGAGAAAATGGCGGAGGCGGGGCGCGAACCCGCGACTGTCGTCGGCCACTGTGCGCTTTGAGGGTTTGGAGCTTGACGGACCGCCCCGCCTTGGGCCGGGCCTTCGCCGATCGCAGATCGCGGTCCCAAGGGAGCACGCCGCGCATGGGACGCCGGCCGGTCGGTTACTCGGCTAGTGGCACTTAACGTCCGACGACGTCCAACTGGCAATTGAGTCACAGCGTGCCGCGCCGCGCCGTGCCCATAGGCCGCGCCGTGGCGGGGCCGGCCGCGGCGAGCGCCACCTTCGTTATGAAACTGCCAATAATGTGTTTCCTTTCCGCTTACGAAACGCCACTTAAATTTCCGCGCGACGCGGTGCGAGACGTCGCTGTCGTGCGGGGGCACTGTGGGCACTGGCGAGATGTTCTGGGGTTTTAGTGCTCCACCCCCAAAAGCAAAAGACAAAGAAACGAGGAAAGGATAGGAAACGTGGCGCCGCGCGGCACGGCTAACGCCAGGCTACGCCACCTGCGCGAGCGGGCTGGCGGCGGGCGCCGCGCCGTGGCGGGGCGTGGCGGGGCGTGGCGGGGCGTGGCGGGGCGTGGCGGGGCGTGGCGGGGCGTGGCGGGGCGTGTGTGCGTTTGCCGCTCGCCGCACCGGGCGCCGCGCCCTCCACCCCACGGGAATAAAAACAACAAAAAAACGGCGCTTTGCGTAAAAATAGAGACGCACGGTAGAGGCGCGGTGGTGCCGCCGCCGGCGGGGCGGCGGGCATGGTGGGGCGGGGCGGGGCGGGGTGTGGCGGGGCGCGGCGGCCCGGTGTGCACGAGGTGGCGCAGGACTCTGGAGGAGTCCGAAGATGGCTGCCGCCATGCTGCCGCCGAGGTGAGGCGAGGCAACGCTGAGGTCACCTCACCGGACGCCTCTTTCTGTATTCGTCTGGATTCGCGATGGAGAGGAAGAGGGGGGGGGGAGTCAGGGCCCGAGTGTGTGTGTGCGTGTCTGTGTGAGTGCGACCGTGTGCGCGAGAGTTTGAAAGGAGCTGAAACGAGGTGAAGGGGGAGGGGGGATTTGCGTTGCTCTCCGACTGTATAAAACGCTCTCATCTCGGCGGGCCCTCGTCGTAGGCTGGCCGGCCAGAGCCCCAGGGCCTTCAGGGCCTCCTGCGGGACGCGGGTAGATTGGCGGTCACCCCAGGGCAGGGTGGGGGTGGGGTGGCCGACGGGGCTCTGCACGCCACTCGCCCTGCGCCTCGCTGCGTCCCCGTGCCGCCCCGTAGGCCGTGCCGCCGTGCCGCCGTGCCGCGGGTCCGTGGGGTGTGCTTGGCTTGCTCTGCGCTCCGAGGCGTCGACGCGTTCAATTGATTTTCCCTTTTCCCGCGGCCTCTCCTTTTTTCGCCGTGCGTTGGCAAGCCGCCGCTCCGCCGCTCCCACATGCTGGCCATGCCGCCGGCCGGCCGGGCCATGGGCTCGGCCATGGGCCGTGGGCCGTGCTTTGGGATACATACAGTGGTGTGGCCGCGCCCCCCGCCCCCCGCGCCCCGGGGCGAGACGGCCTAGACGGCCGAGCCCAGCGGCCCCGGCCCTGGGCTGCCTGTTTGAATTTGGTTTCCCACTTTGCCGTGGGGGAGGCTGAGGCTTTGGCTGCCCGTCTGACACGACGCAGGCTTTCACCCTGACGCCAGCGCGCGCCTTGGCCGCGAACGCGAAGCACGCGAAGCGAAGCCATGGCGCCGGCGGTGCGGACGGGGGGCACCACCGGTCGGGCCGCGGTGCGAAGCTGCGAAGCGGTAATGTATCGCATCATCGCTGGGCGCCCCGCCCCGCCCCGCCCCGCCCCGCCCCGCCTCGCCCCGCCCTTGCGACGGCTACCACTTGTCGTTACGGTACCGAGGCGAGAGGCTGACCGGGTGACCGGGCGACGCCCACTTGTACGCCGAGCCCTGCGAGTGGCGCGAGTCGAGCCCTCGGCCCTCGGCCCGTCGCTGTCCGCAGGGGACGCGCTGCTGGCCGACGCCGAGGAGAAGTGAGGAGGTGTGCTACTTTGTGGTCCCGGCCAGTCAGTCCCGGCCAGTCAGTCCCGGGCGCCGAGTATTGGCGGCGCGGGAGGGAATGCAGTGTAGTGAGTGAGTCGGACGAGCGGGGCGGGGCGGGGCGGGGCGGGGCAGGGCGGTAGCCGTCCGTGATTGGCATTGATTGTTTTTCTTAGGCTTTGCGCGGCGGTGGCGGCGCGGTGGGTAAATTTAGTGCGGCCGAGCGGAGCGACTCGCCGAGGGGGCGTCGGATTGGCGGGGCGCACGCACGGCCCCCGCTGGAGGGAGAGGCCGCCTTCATTACGTGCTCTGCTACAATTTTTATCGTCGCTTTTTAAAGGTCTGGTCTGCGCTGACCTTCTTGCGACGAGTGCACCCCGTTTTCCGCGTTGCCCGGCGCCGCGCTGCTTCGTGACCACGCGGGCCTTGCCGGCGTGCGGGCCGAGACCGTCCTCATCATGCCGCTCCCCTGCCTCGGCCTGCTTTGGCCGTCACCAAGGCCCCTCTGCGCCACGACGCGTACGCGCACGGCGCGCACGCCCCGCTGCTCCAGTGAGGCCCCGCCGCCACGCCGCTCCCGGTGCGACGCCGAGCTGCCCTTTGAGGCCTATTTCGGGCCCTCTGAGCCCTTTGAGGGCTCCAGCCCGGTAGGCCTCGGCGCGCCTCGGCGTCCACACCGAGCTCGGCTGCGCGGCACGCTGTTGCGGAAGACTTGCGTTGCGTCAGGTCGCGGAGCGTCGTGCATGTCGTGCGTGTCGTGTGTGTGTCCGTGTGTGTGTTCGGAGGGCTACCGCGTGCGGGCTACTGGGTCGACGTCGACGTCGAACACACCTGGTGCGGGTAGCTCTGGCGGCGACGCGGCGACGGTACAGTGTCGCTTTGTAGATTGCGGCGTGTGGCCGCGTCGCCTCGCTTCCCACGCCAACCCGGCCTTCGGGCACCTTCGGGCAGTGTGGGGCACCTTCGGGATTCGCTGCGGTTGGCGGGACTGGGCCGGACTAGGCCGGACTGTGCGCTCGCTCACTGCTCACTCGCGGCCGCAGTCGCTTCGCTTCCCGGCCGCGAGACCTAGAGACGTCACGGCGTCACGTCACGCGGGCCGACCTCTGACGCGGCCATCGGCGAGGAGCGATGAAGGGCCCGCTGTGGTCGCGGGCCGCGAGGTTGACTTGCCTTCGAGCAAGGGCGGATTTAGGAAAGGCCGCCTGAAAGTGAGGCAAAAAGCACGGCTTGGAGCCGATTCTGGATCAGCCCTTAGCCAGTGTGCTAAGATTACGCAGCCAGCGCGGCCCCACAGCTGTCGACGGTCGGGTCGGGTCGGGTCGGGTCGGGTCGGGTCGGGTCGCCCTCCCCGGCGGCAGGGTCCTCGTCCCCGCCGAGTCCCCGCGGCAGAAGTCGGACGGGGTCCAGGATTCCCGTTTGGTCGCCGGCAGAGGTCTCCGCGGGGGTCAGATTTGCAGCAGGCTTCCTTCCCCGCCGGACTCCAGAAGGACGCCCGTCGGGATGGGGGTCAGGATGCCGCGGCCCTGGCGCGGCCGGCGGGGCGGGACGGGGCGGTGGATAACCCTCGCAGTGCCGCGCCCCGCAGGGGTCATCTAGAGCCCCAAAGAGGGCCAGGGGCCTCAGCACGCCGGCGGCACGGTGCCATAATGCTTTGGGGACGCCCCCTTGCCCCTCGCTCCCTCCTCCAGCGCGCGCGGTCGCGGCGCGGTCTCACCCGCCCAACCGGACGGCTCGGGCCCCAAAGTGGTTCCGGACCGGACCAGAATTCATATTGGCGTGTCGTTGACTTGGCGGGGCGCTTTGCTTGGCTTTGCCTGGCGGGGCGTCGGCGCCGTGACGCCCCTCGCGCTTTGCCCGGCCGTGCCCACGGAGCTCGTCGCGGGGACCACGACGACGAGGACGACGACGTCGTGGCGGTGCCGAGGCGACGCCGAGGGGAAAGTTCGCAAAATTGCGGGTGTTGCGTCGCGTCGCCGTCGTGTGGCGCGGCACGGCGCGGCGCGGCGCGGCGGGCGCCTCGATGTGGATGGTGGATGAGATATAAGACTCTCCGGCGTAGTAAATCCCAAACTCCCGTACGGCGGCGGCGGTTCGTGACGCAACGCGGCGCTATCCGGGACGGCCGGCACACTGATTCCGAGAGTCGTTTTCGTCGCTCCGTCTCCCTCGCACCCGTGAGGAACACCCCGCGAGTGCGAGAGGGACGGAGCGGCTCTCGGAATCACTTCGCAGGAGGCAGAGGCGTCCATCCCCTCGCGGCTCTATGCTCCTCCGGCCGGTGTCGGAGCGGCGGAGCGGCGTATGGCGTGGTGGTGTAAATGTAGTCGCCGGGCGGTCCCAATAAAAATAAGATAACCCACTAAGCGGCGCGCGGCGCGCGTGTTTGTGTGTTCGTGTGTGGGTGTGTGTGGGACCGACTGTGCTCGAGGTGCTTCCTCATGGGTTTGTTGATCGACCGCGCGTTGCGGTG